ACATGGTTGTGAGGCATGTTGTACATGAGAACTATGTATACGGGAATAGCTCTGCTAAGTCTTCCGGCCCCTTATGTTATGGAGCCCCGCCTCCGACAAGCTGCAGATTTTCGAGCAAACCTTTTGATGCCCGAATGATACCCTGAGAGTAACCGCGCAGTGCCCTTTAGCACCTCTATAATAGTACCCTCATGGTTCCCTTAGAGTAATAACAAGTGTCTAGGCTTCGGGTTTGTGGTGCTTCGGTGTCAACAGTTGGGAGTTGGGGCTTGGGGGGTGTGGAGCTTGGGTCCAGCAGCAATGTTTCCAATTCAAGGTCTTGGCATTGAACGCCTGAACCCCGTATGGTTCTGGCAACTAGCATTGCAACTTAACGATGCTCAACGGCATATATACAGGAATTCTAAGAAATGGCATTGGCAGGCTTCTAAATCAGCTTCGGTTGACCTAGCTAGTTGGACCGAAACGGCCGCGCACCGTTCTGTGCGAAAAATCGAAGGGCCATGAATCAAAGACCATAATACAGGGGCCTTAAACATTAGAATAGGTTTTGGGGGGCCATTATGCTATAATCATAATCAGGAACCCCAAAATAGGATTGGCAATTAGTAAGGCCCCTGTATTCAGCGAAACCTTAAGCACACAGACTCGTCACAGCCACAGACTCCCGAAAGCCTAAACCCACAACCCAAACCCCAAACCCTAAACCCCAAACTCTGAATCCTAAACCCTGTACCAAACAAAGAGATCTAATAGACTCTTTTAAAATCCCAACCTTAGACCGTAAACTCTGTATGCAACAAAACGATCTACCAGACTTCCGGCCGAGCTCCACAAGTTCTGCAGAGGTCACTCAGATTCTCCAGGAACCTAGCCTTGCAACCAAATCGCCGAGGACAGAGTTTACATGGTATAGTAAATTATGGCTTTATATAACTACGGTATCGTATAATAGAGCATAGTCCATATAGTATACTATGGTATAATGTATGTACCTTCGTGAACCCGCTAACCTTAACTCCTGCATCAAAAGTCTCATGCGCGCCCGGGCAAGGTCCTGTGCATGCCTTTGCAAGCAGCAGGTCAGTGCTGACAAGCCTCATGACCCGAAACCCATAACAGTCTCATGCTGGCATTTTCATTTGGCGTCGCTTCATCCTGCCGTCGCACTATGCGTTTCTCAAACGCGCGGCTCCGCCGCAGTTGTCAACCCGGTGGCACCCTTCAGCGGCAACAACGACACACTATACTTTTGCAACAACAAGCTGCATATCCTGAACCCCAAACCCAAACCCCAAACCCTAAACTCTCAACCCTAAACCCTAAACTCCAAAACTCCAAACCCAAACCCCAAACTCGAAGCCCCAGACTCTAAACCCTAAACTCTCAACCCTAAACTCTAAACTCTCAACCATTGTCCCCTGAAGTCCAACACGGGAGAGCTCAACACCCGGAAGGTTTGAACCACAAATCGCCGCCAACGCCATCCCCCTAGCCGCCTTCGTGCCTTTGCCCTGTCTCCTGTTCCTCTAATATAGGGGCTTAGGGTTTAGAGTTTAGGATACAGGGTTTGGGGTTTAGGGTTTAGGGTTCAGAGGGTTTAGGATTTGGGGTTTAGGGGGTTTGGATAAGTACAACAAGGTTTTGGAGAATGGTATCATCTTCTTCGGACAATACGAGAATACTACAACTAAGCAGTCGGGGTCTAGGGTCTTGACGGGGGAAAGTGTCTGCCGCTCACAGCTTACAGGGCTTATGGTCTAGAAAAGGCTCTTCTGAACAAAAACTGATCGACCATGGCTATGAAAGGAATCCGGGAACACTGGGAATTGGTTGGGAGTACATCGGGCACCATTCTGACAGACTTCGAAAAGAATGGATGCAATGATAACCTTGATAGCATGTAACGAGGGCCCGAATAAATACAGAGGGTCTTTGGGGTATGGTCTGGTATACCATAATTTTAACGCGGGAAGCGCATGGAATACTACTTACCTTTTGATTGCGGCAGGACTTTATATGCCCCAAGAAGGTAAAGGTTGCAGAACCCGCCCCTAAGATAATACAGGGGCCTAGTGCTAATCAGAATAGGGTTTCGGGGATAGTATACTGATTTGTAGAAGGACTACAGTGGAGACATTATCACAAACTATCCGCCCCCATTTAACGGGCGGTTGCACGGAGGTATCTCGGGCCAGCGTCCTTCGCCGGCAAGCTGAAATCATCCACAGTGGCCGCTTGGGATGTGGGGCGAGGTTTAGGGTTGTAGGCCTTAGGGTTGCGCGAGTTGGGGTTCAGAAAGTCGGGTTCAGGGCCTTGCTTGCGGCTTTTTGTTTGGTTAGTCTCAGGGATTTCAGCTTAGATTGGAACTTGTTTGAAGAACTTTTTTCCTAGATGTGAACTTAGGGCGCACGGAAGCTCTGGCACCCTTGTGCGGTGTTGGTCTTTCTGTGCAGGACCGTATCCTTCTCTCTAGGAGCCAGAGTTAAGATTTTAGGTTTAAAGCGTCGCGTGGATTCAGTAATGTCAGCTCCTGGCGGGGATGGATTGCTTGCTGCCTGACAGAGCTGACTCCTATGAGTCTGTCCTGGTCACTGGTGCTTTGACAAATACACAACTCAATGCCCTAATCAACCGTAAACATCCCACTAAACATCCCTAAACTCTAACACCCTAAAACCTAAACCCAAAAGAAACCCAAACTGCTTACAGCGCTGTGCTCGCAAAGTATGGCTTCATTTCTAAGATCAAGCTTAAGTTACCACATTAGGGAACCGTATTATGTACTGTAGGTCCCTATTTTGGTAACTTGAACTTTAAACCCTGTACATCTAGAGGAACCCTTATAGATCCCTTAAAGCAACCATTACATCCCTAACTTAATCTATCCCTAAACCCTAAACCCTAAACCCCTAAACCTTAAATTACATCCCTGGAAAAGAGCCCAGCTGTCTAGCGGCCCACTCTGGACTGGATCCCTGCAGTCTGACGCCCAGGATGCTGGCAGACAACCCTTTAGGTTTGAGTTTTAGGGTTTAGGGTTTAGAGTTTTAGGGTTTCCGGATTAGAGTTTAGGTTAGGGGCGGAATAGTTGGAATAGGGTTTTGGTGCATATAGAAAACCACCCCGCATACTGTTCGTCAAGATTCCGACCTCTATGTTAGCTGCCATCGAGGTTTAAGGCTCGTAGAGTTTATCTAGTTTGCAGGGCTGAAGCTTCTGGGTTTAGGGGCTCTCAATCGGATCCTGCTCCGATGCATGGAGTTTGGCTTGGTGGGGTCTAGGCGACGATGATGATGATGTCGGTGCCTTCGGCATGGACCTGAGAATGGACATGAAGACGGCGGCCGGGACTACAAGACGACGACGACTTCGACGAAGAGCAAGAGGACGTGGAGTGAGGACTAGTACAGTAGTAGTAGTAGTAGTAGTAGTAGTAGTAGTAGTAGTAGTAGTAGTAGTAGTAGTAGTAGTAGGAGTAGTCGTCGTAGTAGTCGTTCTTGTTGTTGTAGCAGGAGCAGGAGCAGGAGGAGGAGGAGGAGGAGGAGGAGGAGGAGGAGGAGGGGGGGGGGGAGCAACCCAGCGAGCGTTCAAGCTTCACGCGCTCACAAACTAATTACCCTGGCTAAGCGCTGGGCGTCAGTGCAGACTGGCCAAGGGGTGGACGAAAACCTAAAAGGGCTACAAGCAGCTAAAAAAGGCCCATGTGACGCTAGTTTGCTTAACAGTGCCCTCTTTCGCGGCTGCGAATGGCGTGTAGCCCTTCTAGGAAGGTCCATGTTAAGTCCCTTCTGACCTACCCCAGCCCTGCCGAGGAGCAGCGATGTTTGACTTACGAAGCCCTAGACACTCAGAGCCTGTGATCCGGCGGGGTAGCAGTATCTGTGAGCACAATGTCAGTGCGAAGGCAACGGTGCGAGCACCGCTGGGTGACACGGACACAGAACAGAAGCAGCAGTGACAGCAAAAACAGTGGAGGCCATGACCTGTACACAGCAGCACCACGACCAGCAGAAGCAGCACCGGGGAAGGAGAAGAAGAAGTAAAGAGTAGTAGTAGTAGTCGTCGAAGTCGTAGTCGTAGTCGTAGTCGTAGTCGTAGTCGTAGTCGTAGTCGTAGTAGTAGTAGTAGTAGTAGTAGTAGTAGTAGTAGTAGTAGGAGTAGGAGTAGGAGTAGGAGTAGGAGTGGTAGTGGTGGTAGTAGTAGTACTACTAGTAGTAGTAGTAGTAGTAGTAGTAGTAGTAGTAGTAGTAGTAGTAGTAGTAGTAATAGTAGTAGTAGTAGTAGTAGTAGTAGTAGTAGTAGTAGTAGTAGTAGTCGTAGTAGTAGTAGTAGTAGCAGTGGTGGTAGTGGTAGTAGTAGTAGTAGTAGTAGTCGTAGTCGTGGTGGTGGTAGTAGTAGTAGTAGTAGTCGTCGTCGTCGCGGTGGTAGCAGTAGTAGTAGTTGCTGCTCCAACTTGTGCTGCAAGATTAAACTATTACTTTCTAACGAGCAGCCAAAGTATATAACGAATTCCACGCAACTGTGCAAAAGGCTTCAATCTGGAAGAAATACCCGAAGCCAAATCCCCTACGAACAGCTCGGCTACCCCGGCAGGGTTGGAATTCTGTGTTCTGCGAGTTCATCGCTGCAAACGTCACAGGGAGCACATTCGAGGCAGATTCCCTTGTGCCGAAAGGCGGTAGCCAGGCGGGATAAACACAAGCCGAAAGGGAGAGGTCGAGATGGGGCACCTCGTTGTCTCATACGCGGGATATCTGAGAATATCTGAGACAAGTGCTCCTACCTCAAATGTGCTGAGCAGTTCATGGTTTGACGGAGAAAGGTCGTTGGTGCTTCGCAACCAGTGAAACAAACTGCATAAGCTGATCACTTCAACGGCAAAAGATTGTTTAATAGTGAATCAACAGTTGTGATGCTCCAAATGGCGCGGTGTAATCGGGACGAATAGCCCCCAACGTAACAGGTTTCCATGGATCAGCTGCTCGTACGCTTTCAAGTCATGAGGAGGAGATGACAGCCGCCGTTGCATGAACGGCGTGTGAGACCGTCATGGTAGACCTGAGAAGCATACATTCAGATTGACGAAAAACTCTAACCGAAAAAAGAACTTGAATGGCTCTTGATCTGCGTTCTTGTCAAGCAGCTTGTTATACATTTACATATGCATATATACATATATATATATAGATATAGACAGTGATTGTCTAGATATGCATATACAAATACACATACATTTATAACAACATATATCTATCGTTCAATACTGAATGTGTGTACTTATATGTATACATATATATATATATATATAATGTGTATAATATGTATACATATATATATATATATATATATAAACCCAGTTCTGTTTTGGGCAAGCGGCCCGCGTCTGGCTCTTCCCGATGGCGTCGAGACTTGTTCCGCGCTTCCCATCGACTGGTGATGGTTTACGTGGTAGAGAGCCGCGCCGCGGAGGTTCAGGCTCTTCCTGCAGGGGGAAAATCATTAGAAGCCCTCAAGGTTTAGGGTTTAGTAAACCCGAAAACAGAAGCTTCACGCAGGAAATACCCCGATAAACAAGATGGGACAAAGCATGCTGCAAGACGTCTCGAGAACCGGATTGAAATGAAACCGCAGGGGCAAACCGCATGGAACATCACATTATCGATGCGAAGCTGCGTCGATCAACTTCCGAGACATGGGTAATGATCCTACACCCTAAACCCTAAACCGTGATCTTTTGCCAGCCTTCGGTTGACGGAGATGGACTGGAAAAAGTGTTGTTTGCCAATCCGAATGAGCTCAGAACTTTCAGCAGCCAAGGTTGTGCACCTGCATGCAAAGAACTACACATGCTGCATCGCTACCGCACAACACTAAACCCTAAACTTCCTAAACCCTCTGGCTTTGGCGCTGGTCGCACTACGACTGCAGGTGGGCCAAGTAGCATTGTCATTCCTCCTGCTGTCGTAAGTACTGTCATTGCGACGGTGTTGTTTTCCTGCTATTGCATGTAATGGCAGCGGCGGTAGTCGTAGTAGCCGTAGTGGTAAGGTTGTTTGTGGTGGAGCTGGTGGTGGTGTGGCAAAAGCAGTTCTAAGAGCTATTGCAAACTGTCGTCACTACCGTGCTGCTGCTGATGTACTCCGTACTATCTGTATAGAATATGAAACATTGCCGTACCGCAGTAGACACCAGTATATGCCAAGTATGAACATGTTCGTCCTCGCCTTGCTCATCAGCATTGCTGTGACTATTGCTGGCAGTCTCCACAATATTCCTTTGACACTGTCCTATCATCAGCAACCACAGCGGCAACAGCAAAATAACACAAAATAAAGTCATCATCATCATCATTTTCGTGATCGTCGGCATTAGGTGTGTACACTAGCATTACCAACTTTGTCATACCCGCTATGCTCGTCGTAAGCTCTTGCAGACGATGAAGCGGGTCCGCGCTGAGGCACCTGGAAAGCACAGGACCTTCTTCTTCAAGACAATGCTCGTCCACAACCAACGGCGAAACGATGCTGGCATTGGTAAGCACGCTCTCCGTCCTGAGGACCGCAGTCGATCGGGACTGAGTTGCAAGAAATACCAAGAGAGGCCATATCTATCAACACCAGCATGAATGTACATGTAGGAGTGTTTGCGGCATACCATGGAGGATTGAATATATGCTCATGTCCACGAAGGTCAAGACGCATGTCACCATGATGATGACGACGATGATGACGATGATGACGATAATGATCAAGGTAATGGTAAGGAGGATGAGGATGAGGACGAGGATGATGAGGATGATGACGATGACGAGGGTGACGATGCAGATGGCAGAAGCGTCTCACAGGATGTTTCCCTCCGTTGCTAATCTTCGTTGCGCGGTAGCCGTAGTGCCACAGGCAGCAGGGTAAGCAGCAGCAGCAGCATCACTAGCAGACTAGCTAGCAGCAGCAGCAGCAGCAGTGCCACTAGTACTTGTAATTAGTCGTCGTCATCGTCGTCCCCGTCGTCGAGTGCTGAGCAGCAGAAGCAGAAGCAACAGCCATGGTATCAACAACAGGCCGACGGTCGAGGCACGGCCCCACCACGCGCTTCGTGACCCGGAGGCGCCCGGACACCAGCACCCAAGCCGCGTCCGCCACGGTCCCTGGGGTTTTGGCAAACTTTTGCGTATCGGGTCGGAGATTGCAATCGTTTGAAGGGTAGGTGTTCCTGTTATTCCTGCCATATAGCTGCCACTGGGTCATTGGCTCTACGGCTCTAGTATCCCGAAAAGGCTTCGGGGTTAAGTGCTTAGATCGGTGAGAAAGACTTGGCAGACACGATTGCGATTGCGGTGGGCGCCCTCCCTCTCTGACTTCTGCCCCAACCATGACTGTTTCGAAATGGCACATTAGTCGGGTAGTATCCCTCTGCCCTAATGCTTCGAACTTCGCGTTGATCGGGATTTAAGACCCAGAAACTCGACCCCCAAAGCCCTCATATCAATCATCCTTAACATCCCAAAACCTAAACCCGTGGACCCTAAAGCCCATTTAGGGTTAAAGGTTTGAGGTGTTTATTTTCGGTGCCTAACCTCTGAAAGCCGCCAGCCTAAACCCTCCCCGTAGGATGCGAGCCTGCGGTGGAGACCGCATCCCCTTGCATGAGGTCAAAAGTCTCTGCTGCGTCGGTGATCTTCTCGACGCCTGGGATGTGCAGGGGTGGTCAGGGTTTGTTGGGGGGGTTCGCCAAGGGTCCATAGTAGGGCAGTTGATTGGAAACTTCTGGCACAATGCAGGCCCCCAGCTGAACGCAGTAGCTACGACCCGCAGGCACAAGGATCTTTCTGGCTGTGACAATGGCAACCAGTGTTTGTTACTGTTATTCCTTGGGGTTCTATCATAAATCTAATCTCATATACCCCAAAGCTGTATTCTCATCATAGGAACCCGTCGTCGTGCAACCCGCCACTCCCCGATCCAGAACCACTTCGAGTTGCTATCCCTCTCCAGCTCTCGCATCAAGGGTATCCTCTCCAAGTACATCCGCACCTGGCCGGGACTTCGCAGGCTGAAGCAGGTGGGGGGCGCGGAGGAAATAATGTAGGTGCCTTAATAAGGTAGAAGAGGGTTACGGGCTCCTTTGTAGTACATCATCGGGAATCATAGTTGTTCGGAAAAGTTGGGGCTTCTAGATGTCCCTGACATCCTCATCGCCATCACCACCCTAACTATGATCATCGGCAGCAGCCTCAGCATCGGCATCAACCTTCGCATCAGGACCAGAACCAGAAGAATGTACAACTGCGAGCCACAAGCACTAAAAATCTCTGATAAGTTATCAACCGATGTACGATGGAAGCATGATCAGCCACGCAATGCGGACACATCCTGCGCTTTTGGTGTTAACGTTCCCGAAAATCCTCGGAGGGATAGCTGCGGATTCGGTCCAGAGGCTCAGGGCTCCGAAATCCTAAACCCTGAACTCTCAACTCCAAACCTGAGCTCCCAAGTCCCGAACCCAGATGGATCACAAGAAGTCAGGGATCCGGCGCCTGAGATCGCCTTATTTGGCTCTTGAGCGGATCAGGGAGGAAGTTCATCAAGGCTGCTTCCTGGAGAAAACGAGGTTTAAGGGCTTCGGGCGTTTTAGGGCTTAGGGCTTGGAGGGTTCGGGGTTCAGGTGTCGATGATTTTTGCCGCTTCCGGGTCCAGAACAGGACCACAGGATTACGTCAAAAACCCCGAACTTGGAGCAAAGAGTGGTTTTTCTCGCATGGGGCCAGATATTGGATCTTCTATGGTCTTCCTGTACTATTAGGGTTTCCTGCTGGATACCTATATTCAAAAAGAGCTTGCTACAAGAAGGACCCTCAACAGGGAAATCCAAAAACTGACCGGGCCAGAAACCCTGCGTGATGACTGGACGTGTACATGGAAAATGCCGTAATAAAGGTTCTTAAGAATATCAAAAGGGTTTGGGGGTATATTGTTGCATAATTGGGAACTATTCCGACCTCTATGATACTTTCGACGGTTTGGGTGTTGCGACAGTCGGAAAGGTGGAGCAACGAGAGATGATAGCCGAACAGAGAACACCCAAAATCTCAGCACGAAAAGGGTCCTGGCAAATCCAACACCCAGGCCCTAAAGGAGTGAAACCGCTCCTGCTACGGCTACTACGACGACAACGACGACTGTGTCTATTAAGACCACCACGACGTCTGACCACAACACTACGTAGCGGCTTGTTGGCTTCTTGAAACCAGCAGGAAGCCCCTGACATGACCACACCGCACCTTTGCATGAATGCGACGGCGATCGAAGATGTACCTCAGGCTTTCATTGAGGCTTTGGCAAGGGCTCTCAAAAAGTCCATTAGCAGCTCAGTCATGTCATGGGCCTCGAACGCAGATCTTGGAGCCTCTAGGTCCCGTGCCTCAAAAACCTCCGTCCACGAAAGAACTCCAGGGACAAGCATGGGCCCATGATCAAGTAAACCCCAGGCCAGGTCGTCCTTAAGCGCTGCTGGTCTAAGCATCTGGCCGTAAATACGCTTTCACCTTCAACTGGGTGGCTTCCTTTGGCTGCAAGGCATGTCAACAGCCCTGCTTGTCGTAAGTCTTGTGCAAAATTCCGAAACACTGCCTGTTCCCAGTCGGTGGGCTCCCAATTCAAAGCTCTCAAACTCGCGTGGCAAATGAGGCAGTCTAGACGATCAGCCACTCAGCCAAGGCTGAAGTGACTACAGTATTCCATGACGAATGCCAAACCTGTGTCATGCTCGCGACCGCGATAAGTCGGTGATCAAGATCATGCTCACTTTCATTGGTCACCATCGTCAACAACAAAATCAGCATCAGCGGCATCTTCTCCTTCAGACCCACCACAACCTCCATTTATCACCATAATCAGCCTAATCATCATTACCATGGTGGTCGTCGGCATGAGCGCCATACTTCTTCAAGAATGCTCGAAGGCGCTTGCTGCGAAGAGTTTGGTAGTCTGGAAGTGCAGCTGCGCTTTTCTTACGCTATGAAGTCGACTGTTATTCAGATGGAGTGGTCGTTCTGGCAGTAGCAGTAGCAGTAGTAGTAGTAGTAGTAGTAGTAGTAGTAGTAGTAGTAGTAGTAGTAGTAGCAGTAGTAGTAGTAGTAGTAGTAGTAGTAGTAGTAGAAGTAGAAGTAGAAGAAGAAGAAGCAGAAGCAGAAGCAGAAGTAGAAGTAGAAGTAGAAGTAGTAGTAGTAGTAGTAGTCGTAGTAGCAGTAGCAGTAGCAGTAGTAGTAGTAGTAGTAGTAGTAGTAGTAGTAGTAGTAGTAGTAGTAGTAGTAGTAGTAGTAGTAGTAGTAGTAGTAGTAGTAGTAGTAGTAGTAGTAGTAGTAGTAGTAGTAGTAGTAATAACAATAGTAGTAGTGGCAGTAGCAGGAGGAAGTGTCTCGACTGGCATTGTCGCTCCGCCTCCCCTCCGAAGCTGCTGCTGCTGCTCTTTCACCGGTACGGTATATCTTGAACCCGAAACTGGAGCATCGAATTCGAGCTTGCAAGTCTCCCTTAACATGCGGAGCTTTTTTTCCCCCAATCAGCCAGCAATCCTCAAACACCGACCACCCAAACCCTGTCCTCCACTTGCGTCTTCTGAAGGTGCATACGGACCGCAGCTAGCTCCTCGCGAATGAAGCATCAGGCAGGCTAGCGCAAGAATCGCAATACCAGTGATAACGATGATAGATCCTGAGACAGCAGCATGGGCCGCAGGCCCTCAAATTACCAGTACCTGTGTGCACATCGTCTGTCTGTTTTGAGGAGCAGGTGGAAAGCCGTTACATGTGGCCACCCGAAACCCACGAGGAGAGACCAACATCTTGGCAAAATCGCCCCACAGCCGAATCTCACTTCACCCCAACTTCATGAGCACATGGAAACTCGCTGGCAAGGTCCTCGTTGAACACCCTACGTCGATCCCAGATCCTCATCACAAGTCGTCACACTGACGGGGACGATCAAGCGGGGGCTCTTAATTCAATGTCAGTGCAAACTATTGAACTGTTAAATAGACTTCTTGAAACGGAAGCTTACCTTGGAACAATCCTCGACTACGGCAGCGTGGGACAGGATTCCAAACTAGTACTTTCCCAGGTGTCCCTCGCAGTTGGCTAACTGTTTCGATGCCTTCCAGCATCTGTGCTTTGCTTGCAGGGATGGGGGTTGCAGGGCTGTGCTTTTTCAGTAGTGAAGCCTCGTGGGTGATGAGTGTTTAGACGCTCGGACCTGTTGGGGTTTCAATGCAGTCGCTTCGCGAAGGCCTCTGGCAGACTAGGCCAAGGATCTTGAAGAAAGCCTGCGTGATGAGCGATACGCAGATGGCCTGGGTATGTGCAAGCTTGCAAGAAACAACCTACGTCACAGCGCGAGAAGATGTCGACCAAGCTGGCTAGTCAAGACAAGTGATGCCGGAAATGCCTAAATCATGCAGCACTCAGTCACAAAAAACCAAAGGCTATTCTATCTCGGATGGGCGGCAAAAGCTGAAAGGGCGAAGAACATGAAGACCAAAACGAAGAGTCGCTCCGGCAGGTTGACTGGAGTCACTTCGGCGGGCATGGTCCGCATGACACCCAGGGTCCAATAGAAGCAGAACACCTGAGGGTCGCTCAGAATCACGGCTCTTTTGGAGCTCGGGAGATTCGGGATACCTGCTTCTGGGGGCGCCCTTACACTAGCCACGAGCAATAGCAATAGTAGCAGCAGTAGTAGTAGTAGTCGTCGCCGTAGTAGTAGTGGTACGACCAGGTCAAGACTGGTCGTAGTAAGATCAAGACCAGTATCAATGACAACTGTCACAAGCTTGGAATTAAGAGCAGCGGAAGTATACTACAGTTGCTACATTCATCCTCTTGCTGACAAGCAATAAACCCAAATAGCAAAATGACGAGTACCCTAGACCCTAAACCCAAACAGAGGCGATCCGAGCAGCGTATTTCTCCGGCATGGGTCGGTCAACCCATCGCCAAGCGTCGGCCTTCGTGGGTCCCGGGCAATAGGTTCGGGGATAACTGCAACTCGGAAAGGGGGCGTTGAGACTTGGAAAAGGGCCTTGGGGTATACTTGACGGTTTAGGGGGAGTAAGTGCTCGCCGGTGTGTAAAACACCCAGCTCGCACCGCCTAAATCCTACACCCCCAACGTACGCATACTCCCAGAGCCCTCAAAGGCTTCGCCGAAGGTTGGCACCTGAGCCTCCGTCATCCGCCAAACGGTCGTCCAGTGTGGCCTGAGTTCCCAGCAGCTGAGGATGAAAGGCTTTAATAGAGAGACCTTAATAATTAGAATAGGGTTTGGGGCACAAAACACCATACTTACCATAAGGAACCCTGAGAAATAGTATTGTTCATTATTGAGGCCCCTATGCAAGCCTATATAATATGTGTCTCTGCTGTTCTATCAAGCTCTTGATGGTTTTATTGTAAGGTTGCGTATGGTTCTATGTGTTTTATAAGGTCTCTACTGGAGGTCTAGTAGGGATCCTTAAGGGGGTTTTCGATGTAGGCTTTAGAGCATATGGTTCGGATTCAGGTTGTAGGTCCTAGTGTGTCTCATAGGGTGTACACGGAGGGCGTACCGTAGTGTTTAAGCTTCAGGGATTCAGGCTAAGGTTTGCACCGAGGTTTAAACCGTGACGCTTCGTGGTTTGGGGAAGGTTGGGTTTAGGGCAAGGCAGGGCTTGGGGTGGTAAGGTTGGGGTCTGGGATAAAATGCAAGCCGGGCAATGGGACATGGGAAGAATCTTGGGCTCCTTTGGGGTTTCTTGGTCTTGGCACGGGGCGTTCAATACTATGCAGTCAAGGGGGAAGCCTTCGACACAACGGGGTGTTCTGTGCAATCACAACAGCATTCGGTGGGCCGTTTGGGATTCCCAACTAGCTCTTCACGAAAGGGGCCCTCGCCTAGAGAGCTGCCCACATGCAGCAGGGCGAATCACCAACGTTGGGTATCGATGACAGTCTCTGATAGAGTGACCCTGCACCGAAAACCCAACTACATGCTTTTCCTTTCGGGATCTGGGGCTTCAGAGCTCAGAGAAGAATGAATCCATGAACCCTAAGCCCTGAATCCCTAGATCCTCTGAACCCTAAACCCTTAACCCTGAATCCCGAACTCCGAATCCCTAAACCCTAAACCCTAAACCCTATAAACCCTAAACCCTAAACCACAAATCCGCAAGCCCCAGATCCCAGGTGCGAGCCAAAGGCTCTGAACCCTCGGATCTAAAGAACTCAACCCCAAAAAACAAGGTTTAGGGCTTAGGAGTTTGGGTTTAAGGTCTAGATGAGGGTTTAGGGTTTAGGAGTTTGGGGGTTTAGGGTTTCGTGGTTGCAGGGCTTAGGGTTTAAGGAATTTGGTTGGGTCTTGGACTTAGGGTTCAGGGTTTAGGCTCAAGGAAACCCTTAAGCCCTGAAACCTTCAACTTAGGGGACAGCCACGTGACCCTGCGGTGTACTCAGCCAACGCCTCGTCGCTCATGAGCTCTGTAAACCTTAGAGGTCAGGAGGGTTTAGGGTTCAGGGATTTATTTACAAGGGTTCCTTTTCGGGGTCCTGTTGGGGATCCATTACATGCGGGTTACCATAAGGGTTTAGGGGTTCAGGGCATTGGGTTTGGGGCTTTACGATCTCGGGCTTAGGTTCTAGGGTTGTTGTACAATTATGATAAGGGGCCGGAAGGAATACCACTAATACGAAGTATGCAGACTTCTATGTTGTCAGAAATGGAACCGCCCTTAGGGCGTCAGAAGCGGCTGCCAAAGAAATGAAGACACCCCAACGCTAAAACTCAAACCCAAAGAGAGCCTCTCACCCACGCAAATCAAAGCCCTGAAATCACCGAAGCAGGTCCGTAATATGGCTTTGGGTGTACAGTACAGTCTAGCTTTAGTTAAATGAAAGTCCGGCCCTAAAGAATAATGAGACTAATTCTTAAGGCCCCACTCCACTGAACCCGAAACTCTAAACCCGAAAACCGAACCTTCGCTTTCGGCAGAGGCACAAGTTACGATCGAGACCCACCAGCCAGAAGATGCAGGCGTTCCAGTGGCAAATGCCAATCACGACCAGAAGGACGCCTTGTAGGAGGCGGAATACTTCTAAAACATTACAAATTCTTTATGAACAGTACGAACAGTAGCAACATCGATTCTAACCTTGAGACTGCTAGTAATACCTGTAATATTGTGGAAGTTGTTTCAATACCAACGATACTGCTCCACGCCCAAGAAAACTGGTAGTCCTCCAGTCAGCTAGTCTCGAAGCCTGGCGAGTTTGCGTCTGGCACGGCACAAGCATCCGTCAGTGCCCGCAGGCTCAAACCGGATCAAACCCAGCTGAGCAAGTAACCTAGTAATAATAATGATAGTAATAATGGTAATAATAGGAGTAATAGTAGTAATAATAGTAATCGAAAATTCCTGTCAGCCGCTACAGTAGCTACTTGGGATTGAAAAGGAAAGCCTCATGTCCGAATCCGGTTGATTGCTGCTCCAGGTCATCTCGTATGATGGGACAGCTCAATGCCCTTGGAGTTTGGGAAGTATACCCGCTGCCGAATGAAGGGAATCGAGCAGCACACTGCACTCTACAGGACAGGACACCGAGAAAGACAGAGAGAGAGAGAGAGAGGGAGAGAGAGGCAGAGAGAGAGAGAGAGACAAAGAGAGACAAAGAGAGACAAAGAGAGACAAAGAGAGACAAAGAGAGACAAAGAGAGACAAAGAGAGACAAAGAGAGACACAGAGACAAAGAGAGACACAGAGAGACACAGAGAGAGAGAGAGGGAGAGAGGGAGAGAGAGAGAGAGAGGGAGAGACAAAGAGAGACAAAGAGAGACACGGAGAGAGAGTGAGGGATATTAGCACATCCAGGTCACGGATCAGTGCCACGCACTGAACGAAGAAAATTGATCCGATGCGGGCCTCCCATGGATGTAGAGCCGCTCTTTCAAAAGCAAACCTTGTAACATTACACGACTTGCAACAGGTTGTCACTCCACTTCGGAGGCGTTCTTTTGCTAACTCATCAACATGCCTGGCAGAGTGGTGGGTCCTGTTGCTTCCCCTGGCAACGCTTTTAAACAAAAACGAACTGAAATCCAACCCCTACCTGACCTGAAGTGTCTACACCCCAAAGCTTCCCCGGAACTTGAAGCGCCAAATATTGCAGTTCCTTTCCCTTAACCCCCAAAACCCCTTCAACCCTTGAACCCCAAACAACTCAAAACCCCCAAAACCACTCAAAACCCCCAAAACCCTCAAAGCTCCCAAAACCCTCAAAGCTCCTAAACCCCCAAACCCAGCCCGGACCTCGATCCGCTCCCAAATTGCGCCCAGCTTGGCCAAGCGGAGCATGCGCATCAGCCTCTCAGTGGGCTTAGGGCTGCTGCGACTGCGACGACAGCAGGAATCCCAGAATTCAAGAAGAACTGAAGCCCCAAACCCTCATAACCCAAAAACAGATTATATATATATATGTGTATGTATATGTATATATATATATATATATGTATACACATTGCAGGAGGCCTCAACAGGCGCACGAACTTGACGACCTGCCATACAAGAAAATTAGATTAGGCAGTGGGCTCGTAGGGCTTGCGCTTTGGGACTGTTGCGGGGGTTTGGCTTTAGGCGTATAGGATCTGGCATTTAGGGTTCAGCACCTGCAAGGGTTTTTATGTTGAAGTCTTGGGTCTTTCAGGATTCTGTTGACCGCGCCGAGGTTTACAGTAGGGTTCAGTATCTGTCGAAACGGAGCCCTGCTTCAGAAGTGCTGGACTGAGCTCGACGAGGCGAGGGGTAGATTTTCCCATCTTCGGCTATGCCAAGATGGGCACTGCAGGGGCCGTACTTGAGAATATGGGAAATTATGTGGGCTTCTATAATATTTTGGGACTCAACATACCCCAAGGCCCTAACACGCAAAGAGCCTTCCCCCCAATCCTTCCCCAGTCTCAAAACGACCATGTAGAAGCCTTCGTCAATCTTGTGAGCTGTGTGGAGCCGTCTCCTGCGGTGATGGCCTCTGCGATCTGCGACCTCAAATGTTGAATGAAGCTGGGAGATCTCTGCGAAAATGGTCCAGGTTGAAAGGTAAGTTCTGAGATCTAGGGGCCTTGGGAGTATGGTTAAGAGCTTGGAGAATTAGAGGTGTGGGATTGGGTAGTGGGCATCCGGGCATTCACTCCCGGTACGACTACGTCTGCGACTACGACTACCACTACTGCGACTACTAGTGCTACTGCTACTACTACAGCTACAGCTACAGCGACAGCTACTCCTACTCCTACTCCTACTAGTACTGCTGCTACTACTACCTACTATGACTACCACTACTGCCTGCTGCTGCTACTGCTACTGCTACTGCTACTGCTACTGCTACTACTACTACTACTACTACTACTACTACTACTACTACTACTACCACTACCACTACTACTACACTACTACTACTACTACTACTACTACTACTACTACTACTACTACTACTACTACTACTACTACTACTACTACTACTACTACTACTACTACTACTACTACTACTACTACTACTACTACTACTACTACTACTACTACTACTACTACTACTACTACTACTACTACTACTACTACTACTACCACTACCACTACCACTACCACTACCACTACCACTACCACTACCCCGACGACGACCACCACCGCCACCGCCACCGCCACCACCACCACCACGGCTGCTGCTGTTGCACACCCTTATTCATCTCACAGACAACTAGCGCAACTCCAGGTCTCAGCCTCAAACGGCTGAGGGCCCCTGTGTGCCGCCGAAGTGCCAGGGAACGGTGCTTCCAAAATCTATGGCAAACCAGCCTCGCAAGTACCTCGGCTTCTGCAAAGGGGGCACTCTTGTTTGTAGCTCCACTTGAAAAAGACCCCTTCCTAGCGTTTGATTGCAAGGTTGTCTAGGACTGGGAGTGTCAGGCAGAAGGATTCAAGCTGGCTTTTAGGATTAAACCTGGGCATGCAACATGTGCCCTTCAATGCCAAACAAGGGGCTTCTTCGCGATGACGGCCCGGCTCGTGATGAGCTTGCCTTCCGTCAAAAGGGTTTTAAGATTGAGGACAACTTTTACGGCCATTTGTGAAACAGGGTGCAACCTGGTTAGCAGGATGTGCTGATGCCACGAAAACCAGCCTAAATAGCGATTTGTCTTGTCATCATTATGATTCTAGCGACGACTGCGGGTTTCATGTTTCGAAGTGCTGACAACGCTGCAAGGCCCTTTTTCAGTTCTGTGTGAAGACATGTTTAGGCTTTGGATGTTGGAGCTGTGGCAGGCCGAGACGATCTCCAGTCAATGGCCGATACACCACGATGGACGGTGCACAGGGCCATAACCTGATATTTTGTGCTCAACATTAGCCTCGAGTTCGCCCGCCTGGCGGCACGTTCAAGTCCTTCTCTGTGGCTTCAATTGCGGTGTTGAATGAGGCGACCTCAGATCCACGTTTAGGGTTCTAGGGAACCACAAATCAGCAAGCAAATACGAAGTGATGGTGATGATGACGACGGCGAAACCAGGCAGGCAGGCAGGCAGGCAGGCTGGAGGCGAGCAGGGAGGGAGGGAGGAGAGCCGGAGGCAACGGCTTGTGAGGACAAGCAACTACTTGTAAACTACAACAGCAACGACAGCAACAGCAACGACAGCAGCAGCAACGACACAGCAGCAACGACAGCAGCTGTCGCGTCTACTGTCTCGGCAAGACAAGCGCAACAAGGGTGGCAAAGGCTTCTACAAAAGCGGGATGCAACACAAAGCAGCTGTCACAGTATCATACAAAGCCCGACAGCATTGGTATTCGCAACACTCGCGGACATCGGTTGAAATGCTCTTTAAACACTGTCCCGAATCACTCCTTTCCAGTCAATCAACGAAAAACGACGACCACGCTCTGGTGGAAGAGCTCTAGCGAGTTGCAAACGACACGACGACTACTACTTCGACACCTGCCACAGCAGCCGCAGCAACAGCAGCAACCACAACAACAACCACCACGACGACAACAGCGACAGCGACAGCTGCAGCAACAACAGCTGCGACTGCTACAGCTACAGTTGCTGCTACAGCAGCAGCCGCAGCAGCAGCATGAGCAGCAACAACAACAACAACTGCAAGTGCAACTGCAACTACAACTACTGCAGCAGCTGCTGCTGCTCCTCCTACTACTACTCCTCCTACTACTACTGCTTCTACTCCTACTCCTACTCCTGCTCCTACCCCTGCTCCTCCTCCTAGTCATGGGTCCTAGTCCTAGTCCTACTCCGACTATTACTACTACTACTACTACTACTGCTACTGCTACTGCTACTACTACTACTACTACTACTACTACTACTACTACTACTACTACTACTACTACTATTTTTCAATTGAACGCTGCGCGAGCGTGCTCTGCGCTTTGCGGGCGATTACCGCTTTGGCACTGACTAATGGGTTAAAACCGACTTCGGCTCGATTCTGAATGGCAAGCGCAAAAAAGAACCCAAAAACCCACAGCATAAACCAAAACAAGGAAAGGAGCACAGCCAATCCGAAATGAGCCTGAGCCTAAAGCCTGTGGAGGGCCTGCGAGTGCTCAAGACACTCTTGGCCTTGGCGCGGGGCGGGCCATGCCCACATGTTGTGGGGTCCGGCCTTCCCGCGCACAGGCACCCATGGTCTGAATTCTTGCCCGCTGATTTCGGCCAGCACCCACCCCTAAGGCAGATGTCGGCTTCACCGGCGTTCCAGAAAAAGTGAAAAGCTGCTCCTCAGCACGCTTTTGAGGCTGTGCTTGCGGCCGGGCAGCCGGCCTTCAACAGAGGCTAAGCGGCCTGAAATCCGATACGATCATGAACACAGGCTGTGGCAGGCGGCACGAGGGGACTGCCCATGCGAATATCGCAGGTACCTCCTTCATCCGTTTTTGGAGCAAGGCCGGTGGCACGTTTTGCTCCGAGGCCTCGTGCTAGCCACCAACCGTGAAGTAAAACGAAACACAGAAACCGCTAAAAGCAAGGATAAAGGAGAACTAATCCTGATTTCCAAAACCAATCAGCCCCTATGGAAAAGAGCTGCCTATGGCTTGAGCAGTTGCTTCACTGGACAATTCACTTGACTGTCTTTGCAACCTCCGTCACCCTCGGTGTGAGTCATTGCGTCCAATACTCACGAACTGGCAGCCGGTGGGTCGTACTCAGAAGAGCCGTCTCCCAAAGTTCCCGTCTAGTGGCGTCCCACACTAGGTAACTCCGGACTGCCAGCGATGGGCCGTAAGGAAGGCTGCTCGTTGACCAAAGCACGCAAGCCGTCACTCCTAGCACTGCCTGACCTCGTCAGTAACAGGACAGTAACGAACACAACTGGGAGGGCCGTAGCCGAAGCCCGCCACCCTTGGCACAGCAAGCGCGTCCGCTTTGCGACTGTACCCAGATGTGACGTGGAGCCGTACCAGGGTGCTGGGTCAAACTGACTCTCCGCGACTGTGTCGCTTCCTCCTGCCGTGTAGGTCGGCGCAAAACACCTAGCTCCAGGCTTGGGCTCAGGCGAAACTCGAGTGTCACACGTAGAGCCGTGCCAGAGGGGAAGCCACTGAAGGGTTGAGAACTCCAACGCTGACCAGCAAGTCGTGCTTTGGTCCCACTGTTCCACGAAAGGAGCCCGACATTGCGTCTTTGCTGTCCAGCGCGGCGAGAGGCTGTGCCATATGCCGAAATTGTGAGGCTGTGCCTTGAACTGTCTTTCCGCGACTGCGTCGCTTCTTTCCGGCTTCGCTGTAGAGCTCCCAGTCGGCAGACAAGTGTCATGTCGTTCTTTCGGATATAGGAAAAATTGTGTGAGTGCGCTGTAAGCATCAGCGCCGTCCGCTGCTTTCATCAAGAGACCGAAGCCTAATGACTCCCTCCACTGCGCGGAAGTGGAAACCCTACCGCCTACCCAGTGATGCAATGTCTGAATGAAACACAGTCTGGGCCCAGGAATTGGGACCTGGCGGATCAAAGCGGCACCTGTAGCAAAACGGAGAGGCACATGGCTGGGAGTAGGCACAAACCCTTACTGTTCGGAAAAGGAGCCTGGTCGGGACCTCTAGTACAGAAGTTGCGCCCCAAGCCTGTTCGAAAGCCTCTCAACTGCGCGGCCGTTTGATCACTCGTGGCGGCTACTACTACTACTACTACTACTACTACTCCTCCTCCTATTACTGCTACTACTACCACTCCTCCTCCTCCTACAACAACTCTTCAACAGCAACTGCAACAGCAACAGTAGCAGCCTCTGGATGAGGGCAACTCATTCGTATGGCTTTCCTTATGTTTCACGCGTGCGCTGCCGTCTGTTTCAGCCGTAGTAAGGCCGCGGCAACGTCAATGCCAAAAATCAGGGTGGTGATCCATAGCCAGGCAATGTCAAAGGAATCTTCATCCATGTTTCCCTTGAAGGTGAGCTGAAATGGCAAAACGGTGGCATCCATCAGAACCTGGGCTGAAGCACAAGAGTCTCGGCTTTCAGTTACTACTAGGGTTGGATGAATCCAAAACACCTGCAAACTTCCCTCCACACCCCTCTACAAACTCATCGTTTCAACGCTTGGCTACACAACTAAGGCACCTCTATCCGAAAGAACGCTCAGTTACAAACCAAGCTTCACGCCCTCAAAAGACTGCAACAAAAACATTCGACAAGAATCCACGAAACCCCAAACCCCAAGTTACACAGCCAAGGCGCCAAGGACACCACAACAGAGAACCCTAAACCCTAAACCCCTCAACATTCGACAAGAATCCACGAAACACCAAACCTCAAGTAAGGCGCCAAGAACATCACCACAGAGAACCCTAAACCCTAAACCCTAAACCCTAAACCACAGAGAACCCTAAACCCTAAACCACAGAGAACCCTAAACCCTAAACCCCCTCAACGTCCAAGGCGCCAAGAACATCACAATAAAGTCCCAGCCAAGCTTGAGTCCCCAGTGGGGGTTCAGCACACCATAGGGGCAGACGGCCTCAGGACAAGGGAACAGGGTTCTACAAAGGTTACCATAAGTCTATAAGGTTCTATAAAGGAATAGTATAGGGGCATTCATAATTCGAATCGGACTTCGGAGGTTTATTGTACTGTGCTGTAGTTGTAAAAAGAACCCTGAAAACTAGTTTTACAAATTGTTCGGGCGTCTTTACTAGTTGGGAATTTTGAAGCTTCGGTGGTTTAGGATTCATAGAGTAGGCTTTTTGAGACTGGGGCACGCGATTCGGGGCTTCGTGTCTTGGGGTTTTGGGATTGAAGTTTGCGGTTTGGGGCCCCTGTTGCCTGGGTTCTTGTTCAAGGATTCAATTTAAGTTACTGCAACAAGGAAACCTTATTATTTACTGTACACCCCCTTATGGCAACAAAAACCCCGCAGCTGGGCCTCAGATCCTTAGCCTTAGACCTCCTCAGCAAGGAAACAAACAGCTATGCACACCAAGCGAACAGAACTTCGACCCGCACACCACGAAGGCACGTAAACCCGGAAGCACCCTGAACCCTGTGACACATAATAATGTACTACAACCTGACATAGTCTAATGTGAGACGATATAGCTGTATGACACACTAGAATACTCATTACAATAGAACACAATATGCCTACTTGTGAAAGCTATTGCCGCAGAGAGTCAGAAGCACCCCACGGGTCGCTCTCGATGCTCTGCAAGCTGTCAGCCACGCTCGCAATGCTCTCCTGGCGTTTAGGGTAAAATCTAGGGCCTTAATGATTAGAGTAGGTTTTGGGGAGTTTTGGGGGGTATATTGTACTATACATATAATAAGGAACCGCCAACATGGTATTGGTAATGGGTTTCGGCTTAGGGCTCAGGACAATGCAGGAAAAGAACGCATATCCAATCTGGCACTTTAACCTGTAGAGCCCCTTTTCGGGGGGTCAAAGCCCTAGAAGCGCTCCCTAAACCCTAAACCCCTAAACCCCAAACTCCGATCTCTGAAAAAAACCTTCAGAAGAGGACTCCTGCATTCCGCTCGGCCGTCTGTCTGCCGGAGGCTCATCGGCCCGTCCTTCGGAGTGCTTCGGTTGATGATATAAATCCTGCATTACCTTCGTGACTCTAAACTATGGGAATTATGGTATATTCCTTGTTATGGGTCATGCAGGATTTCTATCATCAACCGTTCGGAATGGGGGGCTTAAGGCATTATCGGTTGAAGGGTCTCGGGGTTTAGGGTTTCGGGTTCAGGGGTTCGGGGGCTTGACAGCTAGGAGGATTTCAGGGTCTAAGGGTTCGGGGTTTGGGGGTTAAGGAGTTATGGGTTGAAGGGTCTCGGGCTTAACAGTTAGGAGGATTTAAAGGTCTAGGAATTCGGGGTTTGGGGTTTGTCGGTCTAGGGGTTAATAGGGTTTAAAGCTATTGAGGGCAGATCGCTCAGCTCTGCGGCGAGATGGATGCCCAAACGTCGTCGTCGTCGTATTTCTACGTGAGGACTCTAAAGGGAAGTGGCTACTGTATGTTAGCCACCAAACCTCGTACCCAGAACCCACAATGAAACCGCATCCCGGCATGAAAAAGACACCCAAAAACGGCCAGGCAACATTCAAAGGTAACAGCACAAACCGACACCCCAAAACACAGAAAGAAAAACAAACCACTGAACCCCAAACCCTAAACCCCAAACCCTACACCCCTAAACCCCAAACCCTACACCCCTAAACCCGAAACCCCAAACCCAAAACCCTAAACCCTTCACCCCAAACCCTAAACCCGAAAAAGCATCGTCCTAGCTCCGATGTCGCCAAGCCGTAGCCGAAGTCGCCGAGCGCGAGAGACTCGATGGGCTGGCCCAAACTGACATCCTCTCTTTCTGTTGGGTTTAGGAGTTCAGGGCACAAGGCTTAGAGGTTTAGAGTTTAGGGTTTAGGGGTTTAAGGGTTTAGGATGTGGGGGGGGGGGGGGGGGGGGGGGGTTAGGGTTTCAGGGTTTAGGGGCTTAGGGCCCAAGCTGACATCCTCTCTCGCTGGGGGCGGGCTTTCTGTTGGGTTCAGGCTTAGGGTTTAGAAGCTGAGGTTTTGAAGTTTTCAATTTAGAGTTTAGGGCTGAAGCTTTAGTGCAGGTTGCGGGGTGCGGGATGGAGGTGGGGTGATGTAGGGTTCGAGGTTTTTTGCGGGGCATGGCGTTCTGGGGCTTTGGGGCTGGGGTTCTCGTGCTTCGGGCTCACGGACTTTCAAAAATTCAGAGCTTGATATTGTATTACTGCTGATGGACAAAATCCTGCATACCACCCATTATAAGGAATAAACCATAGTTGGCATAGTTTAGAGTCCTTAGGGTCATGCAGGATTTTGTCCATCAGCAGTAAGAACATTGTGTTGGATTCTACGATGTATTTTAGAATAGTCGATTGCATGTTAGCTTTTTGGCTATGGTGCAGGTACCCTATACTATATTACATTCCGTTAAATTTAGGCTATACTACATAACACTATGTTTTATCATATTACTTGAAGGCTGAAGGGCTTCAGGCGGAGACGGGTCGGACTTTCGGCCGCGCTCGCTTTGCCGGGCCTCTTTGTCATCCAGGTTGGAATCCTGCGAAGCTGCTCAGAGGCTTCGGAAAGCACGGGATGAGTTTACGAGAAGCAAGACTAAACGGGCCACTACATGTGGGTAGTTGTCAAAATTATGGCCCCCCTTTGGGGGTACCCTAAATATTAGGTGCCGTATTATAATAGGGACCCAAAAAGGGACCGTAATTTTGACAACCACCCATGTGGGTTCTTGGTGAAGTTTAAGGGGTTGGCCTTCGCCTCATGAACACGAGAGCTGAGATTGCAGTACTCAGCAGGGCCTAATTGGGACACACGGCTCCTCCAGCTCTGGTACTCGCGACACCACTTCGGTCGGTACTTCACTCTTGAAGGACTCCGATGCCTTGCAAGCGCACAAGGTAAGGTCTCAAGGCCACCAAGGCCCGGAAGCGAGCTTGGAGCCTCAAAAGAAGCCCCAGCTCCTCATACTGGGTTTTGGCCAAGGTCAAAGTCCCGGGAGTGCTGTATCCCAACACTGCAACACCACACAATTCAATGTGAAGTCCGCCCGAAAGTCCACCAGCCCTCTGCTCCCGGCACCACTCACAGTAGGGAGCCGCAAATTCGACGCCCTTCCCCCATCGCATGTTCAGGCCCAGTTTCCAATCGCAGCTGGAGGCCGTGGATAGTCTCACACACCTGCAAGCTTTCAAGGTTTGGGTTCATGGTTATGACAAGCTCAGACTTCAGGACTTGCGGTTGTCCAGTCTGGGATCCAAGCGCCGGGAACTAAGACTGCTAGTTTGTGCGAAGCGGGCATCGTAGGCGGATGATACGTCTGTCTACATGCATGTAGGTTTGCATGTGAGCCCTTGCAAACATATATATATATATATATATATACATATATACACAATACATGTGTATATATGTGTATATGTATGACGATATACATGTGTGTATATATATATATATGTCGCAAGGAGAATGAAAGAGAGAGAGAGAGAGAGAGAGTGCGAAAAAAAGAAAGAAGGAAAAAAGAAAGAAACTAAGAAATCGAAAGAGAAAGAGAAAAGAGACAGAGGAAAGAGAAAGCCAAAAGAGAAAGAAAATAGATAAAGAGGACAGATAAAGAGAAACAAGAACGAGAGCGAAAGCGAGAGCGAGTGTGTATATGTGTGCGCGTGTGTGCGCATATATGTGTGCATTGTAGCTGTTTGTGTGTGCATGTGAATGTCGATCTACCTACCTAACTAGCTATCTATGTTCATATCCCTTTCTAGATCTTTGAGCGACGGCGAAACGGGTCGAAGCCCCACCTTTTGCCCAAACGGAAGTTCGGGTATAGGTACCAAGGAAGGGCAACGCTTCTAAGGTTTAGGGTTTCTTTCTCAAGGACTACACTCTGAATAATCGGCATTCGGGCGAGCAGTTTCGGGAGTGATCACAAGAATGCTCTCTCACGTCCTGCCTGCGGCCCGTTATTGCAACCTGGCTTACCGGTTGGTCGTTGAACCTGCCCTGTGCAGCTATATAGCCAGCGGTCGTTTGCTTCAAGGTTCAGAACCACCACCCTTAGCCTCACAGCCCAAATCCTAAACCCTACAATACCTCCGAATCCCGAGCAAAAGGCCTTAGTCTGCAGTAAGTAGCTGGATCCTTGTGTTCAGAATCCCAATCGGTAAACTCAAGTTCAACAAAGGCTCAAAAACCCTACAAAACCCCTGACACAGCCACCATGAAGCCACGATGAAACCGTCATAAACACCCCTCTTATACGCAAAAAGCAGCCGGTTCGGGCCTGCTCCACTGCCTCCTCCACGCTTTTGGTGGCATCCTCGAGCCCCCGGTCCCAGGCCACTTGCTGGCCTCGGCTGTACCCTGACATTGACATACTACCATACACATGACTGCTGCTTCTTATGATCAGGGTGGTCATGATGAGAATGGGATTCTTCTTGCTGTTGACCATACGCCTTCCTTTAATGGTAACATGAGTCTTACTGGTCTTAAACTGTTGCTACCTATTGCTGTTCTTGTTTTCTCAGCAATAGTAAATTGCTCTGAGCATTGCTTCTGCTACTGCTACTGCTGCTGCTCCTGCTACTGCTACTGCTGCTGCTCCTGCTGCTGCTGCTGCTGCTGCTGCTGCTGCTCCTGCTGCTGCTGCTGATGCTGCTGCTGCTCCTGCTGCGGCTGCTACTGCTACTGCTGCTGCTACTGCTAGTCATAATAAGGAAGCGCAGAGAAGATTAGTCAGGTCCGTATATTGGGGCCTTCTAGAGGTCTAGGACTTCGCGTTTATGGCTCGGTTTGAGGTTTAGTGCATTGGCGGCGCGGGATTTCTGTATTCTTAGACGGGGGACGCTGGAGATTGTCGCGGAAACTCTCACAGCCTGAAACTTCCACCGCTGACGCCCTGAACCCTAAACCCTAAACCCCTAAACCCTAAACCCTGTATCCAAAACCCTCGGCTCTATGCTGAATCCAAGTCCCGAAACCAAAAGGGGGCTGCAGACTCCCTTTGCGAGGCTTCCCTGGATGGCACACCCGCATTCGAGTGCAAGCCAAGGTGGCCCAGGTAGGCTTGTAGGAGCGACACCTGCAATTCCTCGGTAACAGAACTTCGAAAACTAGACTGGGCAATGATGTCCTTGAAACTTGTTCTGTGATTGTGAGCTCGAATGGTTCAGCAGCTGTGGTGCTTAGGGTTCAGAGCTCCGTGGGTAGGTGGCGACAGTGAGTCGAACAGAAGGTTCGGAGCTGTGACATGCCCACTGCAAACTCCAACAGCTGAAACCCTAAACTCTAGACCAAACACCCGCCATAAACCCTAAACCCTAAACCCAAAAATCCTGAAACCCAAATCCTTAAATCCCAGATCTCCACGCCCAGTCCAAGGGACCATGAGTCGGGAGGACTCCATGGCGAAAGACTGGATGTGTTGCCATCGGTCATGTGGCTTCGCCATGTCCTTAGCTCCATGTTTTGGGGGTTTAGGTGCTCATGGCTCCGAGTTCAGAGCTCAGGGTTGCAGCCGCGTCGACGGTCTAACGGCAGGCCTGAAGCACTATAGAAGCAATCGCCACCGTGATCATCATCATCACAAGCATGACAATGTGATAATCATCCTTCCAGACTTGTGGTCATCGTCACACGGATCCTGCTTGAACCTGTCGAATTTCCGTCGCCACGTTAGTTTAGAATGCCCAAAACCTAAACCCTAAACCCGATGCGCTCACGCTAGGTTTCTAATGCGAGGCGCAGACTACGAGATGTTGCTACCAAGCTGCAGCGGCAAAAAACAGATTGCCTCCCTAACACCGGCGTCAGTTTGCGTTAACGCATCGCCCAAGCCCTCAAGCAGACAAAATACTAAAGATGCGTCTATATACAAAACAAAATAATACAGTATGGTATAAATATGATATAGCATTCTACTATAACATGACACAATATGATACACTATAATACTGGTAAACATGAGATAATATAGTACAATACAATGCTATGCAGTGCTATGCAATGCAATATAATGTCATGTATTATTATACTATCCGACACCATACTGTACTGTACAATACAATACAATTGCTTGTACTTCAGTATATCATATTATGTTGTAATATAGTGAATTATACTATATTGTATTGTACTGTATTATGTTGTCTTATCTTGTAATTTATTGAGTTATATTGCATTATACTGTGTTATATTGTATTATGTTGTGTTACGTTTCATTATACTATTTTAGATAGGTAGTTCGTGAAGGGAAGGTATTTCCCAAAATTCTGTAAACGTCGCTACATAGGGCAAGGCTCAGCAGCTTCCAGGTGGCCCATGTCTGCTTTGCAGGTCACATGGACTACGAGAAGCGCTCTGAAAAAACAACTGCCTGCTTGAGTAGCACGTGCAAGTGCTGACACGTAACTCGTGGAGTTTGCTTCCTTCTTGCAGCCCAGCTGTAAGATGCTGTAAGAGCCGTCATATGGATTAGGGGCACCGAGTTTTGCAACAGAGGTGACCTTATGTACGATGATGCGAAGCTGCCGTGATGGGCTGACTGAACCGCCCGGTCTTGAGGTGCGTGATGAGGCGCGGGCAGGCACAGCTGCACTACTGGACAGACTTAAATTTCTAAACCCTACAAGAAAGCCGCGAGATGGAGCCTGCATGACATGCACCTCTGTGTACGAATTCCATCAAGCGATCGATAGGAACTCGAAGAGTGGCTTGTAGATTCGATCAGTAGTGGGACTTTGACGGAAACTTTTGGTCATAACCGCTTCATGAAACTAGTGCAGGTTTCCGGCTTTTCTAAGCGTAACAAGGTTAGCATCTTAAACCCCTGAGCTTAAACTAAACGCCTGGGCGTACAAAAAGACCTGCCGCAAGACTCGAACACCTTTTTCGAGCCGCGGCTGGGCTCACTGAGGGGGCGCTGTCACGCCCATACCTGACTCCACGATTAGGGTTCAGGATAGCTGGTTTCTCGAAGCTTCATACTCAGGGTCTGATTGCTTTTGCGATCCAGCGCAGACGGATAATGGCTTAAGGCATTGGGTTCTTGTCGGCCTGGTAGGGCGTGTGCTCCAAAAGCCTTAAGGATGCTTCTCGGTGCAACAAACCCCACAGAAGCTTGAACCAGTAATCATTCTTAACCTGGCATTCTAACACCAATGACAGCGGTATCATCAACAAAACTAGATATAGTAGCATTACTAATAATCGTCAAAGATACCATCACATCCATCCAAAGCACCCTCGTCATCAACGACCCCAGCATCATCGCCAGTATGACCATCATGAAACCCCATGCCCAAGATATGCATGACATACACTCCATCAGCTTCTCATCTGGAAGCTTGTCAGAACCCAATTCTGAGAGTCGGACCGGCTTGCTGCTGCAAGAGCTGCACCTGAAACGTGGCTAAGCCTATGATCACTGTTCTGGACTGGCGATTCGGGTGCCAGTCTCATACATGATACCGGTATTAACCTACAAGAATTTGCAATTGAACCAACGAAAACTACTAAGAGTAATAATAAGACTATAACTCAGACAGAAGCTGACCCTGCCACCATGACCAGGTAGAAACTGAAGCACCAGATTCCACTGTCGCTACATTTTCAAACGAAATACCAGAACTTGCGAGCATGGCTTGCACACTCTCAAACCTATGTGAGGACAGAACCCCACCACCCTCCTAAACCCCACCCTCAAACTCTGAGAGGCCTCCCACATCCTACATCCAATCATCCGACCTCCTAACTCCTAAACCCAAACACCTCAAATCTCCAAACCCCCCCCAAATTCTTCAACTCTCCAAACCCCTAAAGCCTCCTAAAACCCTAAGCCCAACCCTCAGAACTCCCAAACCCCAAAGCCCCAAACCCAACTAAATCCAAGATCTTCTTGGTGCCCTCACAGTCCACCCAGGCTGCATCGGCATGGGAGAACCGAAGGGCCTCGCTCTCTCCGGGCATCCTTTTGTAAGGGCTCCTTTAAGGGTTCCTTTAAAGGCTCCTCTAGGGCTTCCTTTAAGGGCTCCTTTAAGGGCGCAATTAAGGGCTCCGTGAAGGGCTCCTGCAGGGTTCCTTGACGAGTTGAGTATCTGGGTTTCAGGAGGGTTTAGGGTTAAGGGCTTTGGGGTGTTTGGGTTTTTAGGGCTTAGGGCCTGGTACTGCAAGGGTTACTAGAAAGCTGCAATATAGAGGGCTTAACAGTTAGAATAGGTGTTCTGTGCGGGGATGGAAAACCTCCATCAAGGTTCTATAAGAAGAGCTGTTTCAACGGTGTAGTATCGGGGCCTTGATCATTAGAATAGGGTTGTCTGAATATGTTATGGTGTAATTATACGAGGGAACTGCAAGGAATAACGTTGTTTCAAGTTTGCACCTAAGCCACTGTATTGGCAACCCGTGTAGTAACCCTCACAGTAACCCCCACAGTAGCCCCAGTTTGGGGTAGAGGGTCTAGGGCTTAGGGGTTAACCACCATAATCCGGCATTCGGACTTCAGGTTTGAGTACCCAGGTTTGGGACCAGGGAAGGGGCCTTCAGAAGAAAAGGTACAATGTCTGAGGCTTCGGATGCATCTGGTTCGGAGCCTGAATAAGTAGAAATATTGTTCCTTAGGGTTCCTTGGTATACGTTATACGTATATACAATATAACCCAAAGAACCACCAAGAAGGTGTTGAGGAGGATAAAAACGGCTAACCTTTCAGGCTCCCACATCTGTTCATGTGCCCGACACCGAGACTCCCTGCGAATCAAACACAAGAGCTGTCTGCTGCTATCCAGACAGCTCCAACCCGGCAGACGACGAGACCTGTAATCGAGGAGTCGTTACACATCTATAGCAAGACGTTCTCCACAGCATCGTTCCAATTATCAGGGCCCCTATATACATTAAACGGAAGCCCCTGTGCAGAGCATTCGAGACTTTTGGGCTTTCGGGCGGTTCAACTCCAGGAGCCTTCCCTGCCTCTGAACCTTAAGCCGAAGCGCAAGCCTTTGAAATTTGTCCTTGGCAACTTGAAGTCTGAATACCATAGGTGACGTTACGCCGAAGCCTTGGAACAACTTTCGAGGTCGCTGCCCTGGCTGGACGGCTATTCCTGGAAGCTGTTGCGCGCCTATGGCGGTGGCGTGAGCTTTAGGTTTTCGGCTTGGGACGTTATGGATGTGGTTCAGGGTCTAAGGCTTACTGTTTAGGGTGTGGTTGGGGTCTTTGGGGCTTCCTGTCCACCCGAGTGAGGAGTTGGAAGTCAAGTGAGCAAACTCATTCCACAGCACTAGCTGATAATGGACCTGGGGTTCTGGGTTTAGGGTTTAGGGTTCTGTGGTTCTGGACGTCAAGTTGACTATGGCAAGAACATGCCGGAAGCCGGAAACGCATCTCGGAATCTAGCACTGCTCGTGCAACATCGTGTACGATCCTCGAGATGATCGCCAGGTGCCACATAAACAGTACAAAGGCTGCAGAAGCGGGGTCGAAAGTCTGAACAAGAACATTCGGCACCTCCCATAACGACGGTCGGCACTTGAAGCTGCTGAAGCGCCATTGGAGCATTCCTGAGTACTGTCTGTGCATAGCCATCTTGGCCGCTGTCAATCAGGGGGCCGGCACTGGCAGTGCGGGGCCATGTGCCAAAATGGGTCTATGTACGAGATCTACATCCTCGCACCTGCACGGACTAAGACCATCTTCGAACGAGGTGCTGGGGTCCGTGATTGCTGGGGTATGTGGACTGCATTGCTGCAGCCTACAAAGCAAGCAAGGCTTTAGTTCCGATGAATGGGTTCAGGTGGTTCCGGCCCCCGGCTGCCCAATACTCAGCGCGAAGCATCTGTGGCATTCCGGGCACAAAGCCCATGCCTGTCCGCGAGCAGGATCTCAAATGCCAGGAAGGATGACAACTAAAAACTCTGAGAAGAAAGGTATGAGAGTAGCGTCAGCTGTAAGCCGGAACCGAAAAAACTCCTACGAACACCCAGGGCTCCCATGAAATGAACTCCAAGGGGGGGGGGGGGGGTCAGCCTCAAAATCCCCAAAGCCCGGCCGCCTCGTGGGGCAAACGGCATCGATGCTGCTTGGGGTGTCCTCAGGATTCAAGGCAAACTTCGAGGATTAAGTTGAGCGTTCAGGCGTTATAACTCTACTTAAAGGATCATGGGACTTAGTAACTATGGCTAGAATTCGGGTAGCTATACTTATCACGCCAATTAAGGTACTTATACCCTTGCTTACTAAGTCCCATGATCCTCCAAGACCCTACACTTCTCAGGGTTTTGGGGGTTCCTTAATTGTAGCTATGGTATAAAATTTCCCCAAGCCCTGTTCTGACTATTAAGGTCCCTATATTAGGGTTCGGGTGACTCTTCCGGACTATGTCCTGCCCACCCCGCACGATAGTTACCCTCAAGCACGTATCTTCTCCGTTTGTGGGTTGAAGTGTGGGTCGCGATGAAAGGCATGAGTTTTTTGTTCATCATCGGCTGTGAGGCTTTGGTGTCAACCTCCTCCTCCTCCTCCTCCTCCTCCTCCTCCTCCTCCTCCTGCTCGTGATGATGCTGTGGATAGTAGCAGCAGTAGTAGTAGTAGGAGGAGTAGTAGTAGTAGCAGCAGCACGAGGAGGAGGAGGAGGAGGAGTGGCAGTAGCAGCAGCAGCAGCAGCAGCAGCAGCAGCAGCAGTAGCAGTAGCAGTACTAGTAGGAGGAGGATAGATGCGCGAATGTCTTTTGGCCAGGCTCCTTGGGCAAACTTAACAGCTTATACAGGGCTGCACTCGACAGCTGATGAAACCCTGAGGTGCAGCAAAATGTATTGGAGTAGGACCGATTTCAAGACATTTTTCAGGGCGGGGTCGTGCTTCGGGTGAAGTGGTAGGCAGCTTGGGCGAATAAATGATCGACAACAATGACTTGAAGATGAAATGCTGGTGTCTACGCGCTGCTTGGTGCTGTATGCTGTAAATGGTAAGGGTGTCCCTGACTCTTCCTGGATGTATGGGCCTTGTAAACATCAGGTGAAACGTCGGAAATGGCGGTCGGCGTGAGAACCCCCTTTAAAGGGCGGATTGTCCCGGAGAGGCCACGGGTAGACCACTCGCTTGACAGTCCCTCAAACACCGCCGCATCAAAGCAACATCTTTCCTAACTGAGGTCAAAGTCGCAAGCGCGCATTGGAAAATGTGCTGTTCGAGCCTCCCTTAAGGAGAAGCTACAGCAGCCCCCCTCAGGCCTTGAACATGTAATTTATCCACTCGTCATACGAGATCCTTCCTTCAAAGGGGGCAAGCAAGACGCAAAGCTGTGCTGCACAAGGTCAGGGTTTGGGCTTGGGGTTCGGGTTTAGGGTTTATGGGGGTTAAGGCTTTGCGGCAGCGTTTATGCAAAGGGTCTTGGTACAGAACCTGATACAACCCTGAAGCCCTAGACCCCACGTAAACCTACCTGGACCCTATAGGAACCTGGATTTCTAGGGTTCTGAGATCCTTGCATGAGTCCTTGGAAAGATAGGTTCTTTGGGCTTGACGTAGACCCTCAAACTCTGAACCTCAAAACAACGAGGCATCGGACCCTGAAGTCCACCAAACACTTTCAGACGAGCCTGCTTTGGCTTTAGGGGTGCTCACACTTCTATAGCGGCTTCATGTTCAGGGTCTGAGGGTCTTTGGCTACTGGTTTAGGTTGCGGATGCAGCGGTTCAGGGTTTAGGAATACAGGGTTCCTGCTTCAGGATTTCTGGTTTGGGGCTGCTGGCTTTGGGGCTCCATTCTTTGGGGAGTTGGGGCTCGCGATCACCTAAGATCTTGAGATTTAGGTGTCGGGATTAGTGGTTCAGGTCCATGCCAAGAGGCCATCATTGTCTGCATCCATGGCCTCTGTAGGAGCAGCACCATCGAACAAACGGAACCTACATGCCTTGACCCCCTTTGGAAACCTCATGGCACCAATCAGCACCGTTTCGTTCTTGGCTGAGAGGACATACGAGCAGATTGGAGTTCAGGCTTCGGCGCTTATTTGACGGCCTGCCTAGGGTTTACTCCACATGACCCGACCGGTCTGAGAGGAGGGTGGGCAATAGAAAAACAAGAAGAAGAAGAAGAAGGGTAATAGTAGTAATATGAATTATAGTAGTACTAGTAAGAACAACAATAACAATAAGAGACCCGCAACCTCTCAGGATCACTGCAGGACCCTGCGTGACGAGGCACGGAGTAGAGCAGCTGGATCTTGGCGTCCGTCATGTCCCTATTCAGCGTCTTCATCACCTGAGCAGTCAGACAAGACCTTTGACATTGCCGCCCGCAGGAGAACAGCAAGAACAGCGCAAAAGCAATAACAAAAACACTCTATATATAGGTGTGTATATATATATATAGATATGTATATATATATACATATATGTATACCTATGTATGTATATGCACATACATACATACGTACATACATACATACCTACCTACCTGCCTTCCTCCCTCATACATGCATACATACATACATACATGCACGCGCGCACACACACATACACATACATTCGCACAGACACACACATGCACATGCACATACCCACCCAACAATCACACATGCACATAAACATACATCTAATGGACGGAGTGTACGTAGCGGTAATGTACATGCGCACAGCTTCTTGTCTAACCTGACATTCTCATGTAAAAGGAGACTTTGCCACAGGCATGTACGAGAATCCCATCTCTTCGCACCAGGCCGCCGTAATGCCATGGCAATGTCTATTGAAGCCATCATTATACAACCTATGCCCGCATGCTGGAAGCACTCCGAGTGCACACTACACACGGGATTTAGGGTTTCAGGGCTTAGAGTTGGGCTTAGGGTCGTGTTTTGGGTTTCGGGTTTAGGCTGAAAGTTTAGTGTGTATGTGTAGAACGGAGAAGAGAATGCTGCAACAGTCTATGCCAGGGTTACACCCGAACATACCATCTGAACACGAACCCACTTTCTCAACCCAAAGCACCTGAACACAGCAAGTTGAGAGTCTGAGCCGCTTGGTGTTGAAATCTCGCAGCCCGAAATCCCAAATCCTAAACCCTGAACCTCTTGGGTGTTGGGTTGTGATATTTGGTTTCCAGGGCCCGCGCGCCCCAGAACTCGCGCTTGGAAAGCTTTCCGTTGCCGTCTTTGTCCCAGGCACGGAAAGTCGCCTGAAACTCAGCACCGAAGGTTGGTGATAGAAAAAAAGTACAATACAAACAATACAATGTTAATAAAGATAGTAGACATAAATAATACTGATAATAATAATAATAACAACAATAATAAAGACGATAGTACTAAGAATCTAGCAGAAAGTTAGGTATTCAGGTTTAAGTATTCAGAGTTTAGGGTTTTGCACTTTGGACAACAACATGCAAAGCCGTAGTCCTGACTCCAAGCAACAACAGAAGAAAAGCAAACACGATGCTCACAGCAGTAGCACCAAAAGCAGCTGTTGTCCCGAAGAGCAAAGAATGCACTCGGATTTTTGCATATATGATGACTGTAGCTGCTTGGGTTGAGGCTTGAGATTGTCTTTTCGGCAATTCGATGTTGCCTCCGCCACAACATGTGCAAACAATCAAAGCTCAGAGATTGAAGCGCAGCTTGCATGCCTTCACGATGTCGGCATCACTGGCTGAGTCTTCTGAGGTGTAGAATTCCACGAACCTGGGCCAAGCATGTTTGCACGGATTCTACTCATCCGGTCCGGGCCGGAGGACATGGAAATGTCAACCCCGAGCACAAGTTGACTTGCATGCTGTGTGTTCTTTTGTCGCGGCATGAAACTTCCGTCGGTGGAGAACGGCGTACTGGCCGGAATCCGGAATCCTTGCACCAAAGCTACTAGCGACGAGGCCTCAGTACACACAAGGCTTCCCAAAACCTTCAACGGACCCCAGACCCTAAATTGTCGCTGTTGGCAGGTGAGATTGTGAAGTTTTGGATGTTGGACTTGGGGTTTCGGGTTTTGGGCCGTGGGCCTTCGGTTCACATCACAGTAGATACCAGCATCGGCTAAGTTGCTCCTCGAAGCTGACAATGTCATCGCCATCGGTGCTCATCTTCTTCATAAGACTTGTTACCTCGGTCCGCTGTAACAGAACCCCATGCATACCATAAAATAGATGTACTATAAACTACTTAATGTGTACTACAATGTATAGATATATGGCAAGTTGCTTCAAAAGACTTGCTACCTAAAAGATGGAAGCTCGAACTGTGGGCCAGCACTGGCCTGAAGCGAAACCTCAGCAAAGACGTTGCCGCTGAGACTTTGGTGCTGCCACGAGCTGGGGCAGGGGGCTCCAGCTTCGGATTTCTTCGAGGTTTGGGATTTAGGGCTTTGGGATGTTCTTAGTTCTGGTAAGGGTTTCGGGGGACAGCACAAATAGGATCCTCATCTGTAAAGCCTGGAACATCCGCAAGCACTACTGCTGCTGCTATCACCAGCACGACGACGACCCCAGAGCAAACCCACAACGACCACACAAGGCCCTGCTCCCAACACCCTGCCCAACTCAATGCCCCACACATCTGAAGGAAGCCAATCGCACAGCCCCACCGTAAAGGAACCTCTGCAAATACATCCTGAACACATCATGTGCCGCGGTACCTTCTGCGTAGTGATCGTGGGATCGATCTTCCGCAACATGGATCCCAGGTCTTGCTTACCTGATGCTCGCAGAACTCGAGGAGGCAAGGCTTGCGACTGGTAGGTCAGGTCCGACAAGGCTTCTGAAATCAACAAAACCTGGGAAAGCCTTTCAAAAGCCAAGAAAGCGGACAGAGCAAACCCTCTAGTTGTTTTGATCCTACAATAAGCCTATACGGTGAGCCTGATGAGAATGCAGCATCGGAGCTGATCTTCCCGGTTCGTCGTATGTCCATCTGCCGGTACACCGTCCTGAGAAGGTCCACTTTCATCTCCTGGCGGTCGGGGGGCTTAGGGTTTAGGGTTTAGGGGTTGGGTGTACGGAAGCCGAAACCTTAAACAGGAAAGGCAACCATAAGGTGCCGAGGTCAGAAAATGACTGAAAGAAAAGGGGACAGAGATGATACAGCAGTTACATAATCGTTCGCTCCGTGTTCCGTGCATGGACATTAAGCCCAACCATAATGTCCTAATATCGTAGACCCTCCCTTGATCCAACATAGGTGCCGGATGAATTTGTAGTGATATCCCCTTTCAACCATTACTGTGATTTCCGTAGGCTGAACCCCAAACACCCTGGTCTGATTCTTGGGGGCCTCAGGTATAGGATACCTTATAATTTACCATAAAAGGTTTAGGATAATCACATTCCAACTTTCTGGCTTATACTTTAAACTGTATAAACGCCAAAACCCGATTTTGATTGCTTGGGCAAAGGAATACTCCGGGGGGCAAGGTTTCAATGCCTGAAGCTACCCGGCACCTTGGTCATCTCCCTTGGCTTTTGCTCAACCACAGCCGACCTGAAGCTTTCAGCATGTTCGATCCCTTGTCATATGGGTAGTTGTCAAAATTATGGTCCCTTTTTGGGCACCCTAAATATTAGGTGCCGTATTATATTAAGGATCCACAAAGGGACCCTGATATTGACAACCACCCATATCTTTAAAGGTTGCTTTCGGGGTTCCTTCCAGGGCTCCTTCAAGGGTTCGTTTCCGGGTTCCTTCAAGCAGTCCTGTAAGGGCTCCTTCAAGGGTTCCCTTAAGGCTCCTGTAAGAGCCTGTATAAAGACTTTAAGTCTGGGAGTAGTTGCTCTCTGCCAGAAGGGAAGTAACAACTATTCCAAATCAAAAGCCCTTGAAGGGTGGAGTGGCAAAGATCCAAGCGAGACCTGGCATCCAAACCCTGAAGCCTGAAATGCCAAACGTGGTAGCAGTAGCAAACCATCGAAACCCAAGGGGAATGGCTCAAAGGAACTACTTGAAGTCCAGGGACAAAATATTGGGGGGGAGGCTGAAAAGCGACAGGAAGTGGAAGTGAAAGTGGAGATGCCAAGCCAAGGAGCAATTCAAAGATGCAGAACGCCACATTCCTAAACCCTACGCCCTGAACCCCTAGACCCTAAACCCCTAAGACCCCAAACCTCTAAACCCCCAAACCCCCAAACCCCTAAACCCCAAACCCCTAAACCGCCAAGCCTAGACCTTTAAGTTTGTAGTGGCAGACGGCAGGTCGGCTTCCTTCCCTTGGAGCTTACCGTCCATGAGGCCTCCTAAGAGAGCTCCTTCAGAGGAGTTGGGGATTGGGGTTAGTGGCTCGAGGGCTTAGGGATCGCTGGTGTGATTGCCGGTTTTGCCGATTGCGTGTGAGGCTGTTTGTCCTGCCAGGCGCGCTTGGGAACAAACTCGAGACGTGTTCGGCGCCAGATAGCTGTCGAGCTGAGGAGACGTTCATCAGCAGTTTCGCGTTTGGGGCTGAGAATGCTTTTTGGCGATAGCGACAAGTACGATTGCAATTTCGTTGCAGTCGGCAGTTAGCCTGCAATACAATTTTGTGGTCGCCAGCATCAATGTTGTGATGAATTCCAGTGCCACCGCACGAATGGTGACAAAGACCGGCAATCGCTGGGAGTGGTGGCACTATCTATACAAGGTCTCAATTGCATACTTTGCTTCTCTCGCAGTTACTACTGCTACTCTTACCTTAGACCCTCCACCGTAAATCCTAAACACCCGAAACCCCTCCTGAACCTTAAACCCAAAACCCTGAAATCAGGCCCCCAAATTAAATCCTTAGAATAGCCCTTATAGTGGCCCTTGTAGACCATTAAATCCTTAGAATAGCCCTTATAGTAGCCCTTGTAGACCCCTTTAACGGAACCCTATACTACTAATTAAGGCCCCCATATGGGAGTTTCCGAAAAATAGGGGACCCTAATATAGTACCCAAAGTAATAGGATCCTTATTATAAGGACCCCAAAGTAAGGGACCCCATTTTCGGAAACTCCCATATCAGGCTAAGGGGCTGAATTCGGTCCATCAGATTGGAACTCGTCTCATGCTGGAAGGCCTTGGCCTCCGCACGGCTTTGGGGTTTGGTGTTCAAGAGTTGGGATTTTTCGGGTGAGCATTTTTAGGCCTTCGCGTTTAGGGATGTTTAGAGTTTAGAAGGGTGAAGTTTCGGCTTTCGCGTTTAGGGCTGCTTTAGAGTTTAAGTGTGTTTAGGACTGAGGGTTCTGGCGTGGCTTCGGGCTTGCGGGACCCGGGCATCCGTAAATTGCGCACCTTGAGAGTCTTTGGGGTTTTGGCAAAATGGCCGCTGCGCCCCAAGATTGTCCATGTCTGTTTAACATAGGGGCTATGTTTAAGCAGAATACGGTTTGGCGGCATATTGTTCTATAATCAGCCCCAAAATAGCATTGGAAATCATCTAGGCCACTGTGTGTTGTTCTGTTCGTGTGGCCCGTAGCATGGTGCACTCGGTGGGTGCGCAGTCGTGCGCTCAAGTGATAGTCTCACGCATGATGTTGCAACAACGGTTAGTGCTCTGATTAGCTCCCACGGCCCAGGACTGTGTGAGGTTTATGCAGGGCACCATTCAGAGATCGGGTTTTTGACTCCAGGGGAGCATGCGGATAAAGCTTGCAGGTCCGCTCGCGTCCCCCTTCACACGTTAAACCTCGCTGCAGGAACCCAGTCGGAGCAGGTGCAGGAACGATACGAAACGAGGTGTACTTCACAGTTTCGATCTGAAAAGCCCCACGGTGCAGACAAAAGGGAAGCCATGCAGCTCTCTTACCAGCTTCGCAGACGGAACAAAACGATACCCACAAACTCTGGCCCTTCACATGCTGAAGCATCCACCCACCCATCCATGCATCCATCAATCCATCCATCCAAACAGACAAGCAGGCAGGCAGGCATTCACACATGTGCTGTGAAATTATCTTAGGAAAGCCAAGATGCCAGCGCCATCCCCAGAAAGACGGGTTTGAAGGCGCACAGCGGCAGCGATGAGGCACTCGTAAAGCTGCTTCTAACTGCAGATCTGCAAGGCTTCCCTATGCTGCTGATAAGACTCGTGGTAGACTACTGTGAGCATGGCCGGGAGAGTGAGAAAAGACGTGGGGAGCTTCAGTGAGACATTGGGGGATATCGGCGACGAAGATGCTTCTCATGTCAATGCGCCTATTTGTTGAAAGAGGTGGCGGCGGTGGTAGATTGCAAATGGCAAGGCAGCAGTTCCTGGAGATCTCGACACATCCCAAACATCACCGAACCTCAATAGTCGCAATAATCAACGATCAAAGAAATCACCGGCTCCAAGAACCTTCAACCCGCCTCAATGTTCAAACCTCCCTACATAGCACAGGAAACCCTGGGGCCCTTGCCCTGGAATTGGCTGTGACCAGACTCCTGAGACTTCAGTTTTGAGGTCTAGGGCTTAGGGTCTAGGTTAGTGGGGTTTAGGGTTTAAGATGGGGGTTTAAGAGCTTTAGGTTTAGGGTTGGGGGTTTGGGGTTCAGGCTGTTGGCTCCGGGCGGGGGATACAGCAGCAAAGCGAACGAATAACAGCAGCAGCGACAGCAAGAAGAACAAGAAGGAGTGCGAACGGTATCTGAAGCAATCATTACTCATAACACCATTACCCCAAAAGAATATATAATAATTAACCAAAAGACATGGTGAATGTAATACTGGCAATACTAATGAGCAGAATACAAGTTGCCGCATCAGGAAGAACACAAGCGGGAATACCAGCGGCACTACGCATAACGCTGGCAAATCTCATTTTAAAGCCTGCTCTGACCCAGAGCCGAAGAGGCAAATACTGTGGATGGACAAAATCCTGCATTACCCATTATAAGGAATATACCACAATTCCCATGGTTTAGGGTCCTTAAGGTCATGCAGGATTTTGTCCATCAACAGTAGCGCCTTGTTCTTACATTGAGCCGACATGTGGAGCCCACGCGTTTCAGATGGCAAACCCGGCACACAATTCATAGAATCCAGAAGCCCCGGAGCCAGGCGGTTTGGGGGACCCTGCAACCTGAACTCTAAACCCCAAGAGCCATGAACCCTGAAGCCTCCTGCCTAAACCCTAGTCCTCAAGCCCTACACTCCAAACACTAGACCTTGAACCCGAAAAAACCCACCTAAACCCCTAAACCCGAAACCTCTAAACCCCTATATAAACCCGCAAACTCCTAAAGAATGGCCTCCGGCAAGCTGTTGCGGCGGAGTGTTTAGCACGCCTGGTGGGCGAAGAGGCCTCACTGCAAAGCAGTCAGAGATTTTTAGGGTTCAGGGTTTAGGGTCATAGCATGAGCCTAGCTGGAACACTCGGCTTTGAATCTTGAAGCTCTCTCGCAGGATCCAATACACACCCGTCTGACAAGAAGGGCACATTCGCGAGTTTCAGGATGCAGGCAAGGCCTCGGCCCCCCGGAATCTCAAAATCTTCCCAAGGGTTTAGGGTTTAGGATAGGGTTTAGGGTTTAGGGTTTAGGGTTTAGGGTTTAGGGCCCATGAACTCTGAGAACCTTTAGCCCAGAATCCCTGAGACCCTTTTCGCCGGAAGCCCTCAACCCCAAACCCTGTGACCCTTTGCGGCGCTTGCCCATCGCAAGGGAATCTCAGAAACTAGATAGAGTCCAGCATTCTACATTCTACATAGTCGGTTCCTCAGTACAGACTTGCTTGGATACAATGTAGAACAATGTAGAAGACATTAGAAGACTGGCAGGGTTCTGTTGATAAGGAGCCAGAATAAGGTGCCCCAGTTTTCTGAAACTCCCAGATGTCTATGATGAACCTGAATCTCTACAGAACCCCAATCAGCTAAGGACCATATGCACAAGCCATACCCAAACCCTAAACCCTAAGCCCTAAACCCTAAACTCTAAACCCAAGCCCTGTAAACTCTACCTGTTCCAAAAACAGGGAACCCCCAGACACCTCGAAGGAGGAGGCGGTGGTGCCGGTGGCATCGGTGGCGCTGGCGGTGGGGGCCGCTGGACATCTGGCAGAAGCTCAGGGCTTTACAGGGCTTAGGGTTTAGGATTTACGGTTTAGGGTTTAGGGAGGGTTGTTGGGGTTAAGGCTGAGGGGCTTGGGTTTGTGGTTCACGCTCCATATCACAAAAGTTCAGCTCGATTGCACGCACCGGAGATCCTGTTGCAAGTAGGCTTCATCCGCAAAATAAGGACAGTTGCCCATTGGGGCTGGTCGCGCTAAGGCTTGCAAACGAAAAACTCTGCACGGCCAATGCTGGAAGCCTCTGTCAAACATATGGCCTTTCCTGGTTGCCTGCTGCCTTCATGGCCGCACACTTTACTCAGGAACAGAACTTGAGCCGAGAGGCTCACGGCAGGGGTCGCCGTTTGGGAGGGTGCAGGCGCAGCTTGAGCAGTTTGGGGCGGGTCCGAAGTCGTTGGGGCTGTCGGGGTGCCTGCGACAGCCGCTGTGGAAGCTGTGGCCGGAGTGGTTGGCGTGGCTGTGGCTGTGGTGTTTGGAGGTGGTGCGGGTGTGGATGCCGGTGCCGGCGTGGGGCCCACGGCTGCTGCAGGAGCTCCCGAACTCTCTGTGGCGGTGCCGGCTTTGGCCTCAGTGGTGCAGCTGCAAGAAGGGCTTCAAGCAGCTGAAAGCTCACCCCACATCTGCCCTCGCATCCGGCCTTGGCTTCCTCCTCGCCACTGGGAGCCTCCCAGCACAGCAGGTACAGCACGGGACAGCAAAGACGGCGCCACTCTCCCAGCCCTTCGCTGCACCTCAGTGACTTCGCTGTCACTTGCAGCAGCCGCAGGCTCCGCCTTCAACCGCTCCCGGTTTCAGACCATGACCTCCCTGGTCCTAGAAATTCTGGGAACCCCGAATGTTCTAGCACCCCGAAGCTCCACTTAACCAATTCCATGACCTTCAAAGCGGGTCCCCCCCCTCTCAAGACGCGATCAAGACTGGCTAAACCCTTCAGACTGTGAGTTTCGGGACTACCCGACAGCTCCAAAGCGGGTGAGACCCCATAACCCTCTTGCAGCACGAGCTCGAGAAGCCCGCTAAACAAGAAGCAAAACGGAGAAACCACGAAGAGCAGAAAAGGACGAGAAAACCCAGAGTGAAAGAAAGAATCTATGCAGACACCTTAATATTTAGACCAGCTTCGGGGAACATTAGCCTTGAAGTATACTAGGACAAAACTGGGGTACTACTACTTACCATTCAGATCTCATGGCACAGTTCAACAAGCCGGCCTTGGCGCGCTTCTCTAGGGAAGTCAAGGGCTCAGCTGCGACGCGCTTTCCTGCAGCTCAGGATTCTGTTCTCGGGGTTGAGGGTTGGTGCCTTGGTAGTGAGACTAGGCGTTAGAATATATTATAGCGTAATCCTTGTACACGGAAGGTCTTCCGACCTGTACAGTACAGCTTAAGCATCTGGGGCTTGGGGGTTTGAGGGTCTCAGGCTAGCGCTGAAGGGTTTGAGGGGTTGTGGGTTCTGCAGGGTTGCCCTACACCCTACAACCCCTCAGGAGCAACAGTTCTAAATCAGTAATTGGGCTCCTGACCACTTTCCAACCATCCACGTGCGTACGTGTTATTGGCAAAAAGGGGCTGCTACTTGGCGTTAGTATGTGTGCTTCCTGCTGCCGTTATCCGGTGCCGTCTTGTTTCCGTTGCCATCTTTATTCTAACAAGCATGTTGGTGCCGCCTGGAAGTCGGCTTCGTACCAAAAAGCTACTGGGAAACCACTCCGAGTGGAACATGGCAGGCCAAGACTAAGACTGCGGTTCAGCGCAGGCCATGTCCATAGCCCATGAAGGCTCACAGCTTTGTGCTCCCGAAATTGGCTTGGCTGGTGAAGCCCTTCAGTTTGGACGCCAGTAGCGCCGCTATGTTCAAGAAACCCGAGGCCTGCGTTGCCAGTGACGCTCGCAGTCCCTGCCGTCCTCGAGGCTACAGACCTGGTTCAGGGTTTAGGTTTGGGGTTTAGGGTTTGGGGTTCAGGGCTTCAGGGTAGGAGGCTCTAGGAATCCCCTTCGAAGGCCTTCCTAGGATACTTCGGCATCCCACTTCCATACTGAGAAGGAAAGTTGGGCTCACAACGTAATCATGACACGCATAATCATAATAATGACAATAACACTTATTATCAGTATGTGTAGTAATCCCAGTTAGAAGGAGGACAAGGAGTACAACAGAGACTTGAAAAGCAAGGGTGGCCACACGTAGTGGTTTTTCATGACACGCTTGCCATTCACCCTGTTTGGCTTTTCCAAGCATTCATGCTTGTTTGCTTCTCAACACGCTCCTGCTCTCTCTGTTGAACCCTAGACCCCAAACAAGGTTTGGCTGCTTTCAACTCGAACCCTCAGTTCAAGGGCCCGGCGCAGCCACTTCTGCTGCTCTCTGCCTGTGCTCGGATAGCTCGTCTTCGGCTTCCAGCGGGGTTTGGGGTTTCGGACGGTCATAGAGCTTCGGATATCGGAGGGCTTCGGGTTGCAATTTGGCGTTGGGGTCTGGGAGGCTCATGGGAACAGCAGAGGTCGGAACGACTCGCCTTTCTTTCAGGTCTTCCCCGAGTCTTGGCTTCCCCTCTGCGCTGAAGACGCTTCGTTGGGCCCACATGGCATCTCCCTGAACAAGATTCCATGACAGAGGCGGTGAACCTTGCGAGCTCTGCAGCGGAAACGCGAGCGCCAGTCCTACAAAAAGCTTGGGATAGGCCTAACGGAACCCTAAACCATAAACCCTAAACCTATTCGGCTTGTGTTTTGGGTTTAGGCTGACCAAAAAACCTGCAGAACCGTCCCAACTTCATCAGAAAAAATCTCATCGTCCTCTGCTTCTCTGGCGAGGGCTTTGCCTGGCAAGTAGATTCCTGAACCCTAACCCTAAACGGCCCTGAACCCTAAGCTTTAATTCTTGGATTTTGGGGCCTTCTTCCGGAGCTCCTCTTTGGGAACTTTCTGGTTTCGGGGTCGGTTCCGGCTTTCGTGTTGAGGCCCAGCTCTTTGTGATTTAAGCACAAGGGCTTCAGGGTCAGGTTTCACGGAAAGTTTGGGCCTCAGGGTTTCGATAGGGTATCATACAGGGGCCTTAATTATCAGACTAGGGTTGTGGGGACCGATATACTATTAGTATAATTAGTAATTAACCCCCAAGCGAGCGCTTGGCAACTTTAGGACGAGACTCTGAGAAGTTTTGTGTCGGGGTGCTACGCCTTTCCTGTTTAGGGTTGAAGCTTCAGGGTTTACAACAGGTCATGACAAGCTCAAGCTCAAACGGCCCAAACTCCACCATGTGGAGGCTTAGGATTGGTATAGGGGTTGAGTGTAGTTTAAGCTTAAGTATAGGGGTTGAAGGGTTCTTTGGACCCACAAGCCCGCTGCCCTAACCTCTTTGCTGACTTGGACCTCCTTTGCCGCGGCGCTTTGCGCGGCCCTCGGCGTCAGGGGTTTAGGGGTTAGGACCAGGACTCATCTCCGGTGTAGGTTCAGGGTTCAAGACTTTCGGCGAATGGCTCGAGGCTTGAGGGTTCAAAGGCTTACAGGGTAGTCCACAGTGTGCAACCCACCCTGAAACCCTGAACCCTAAACCCTGAACCCTAAACCTAAAGTGACTAAAGGCTCCTCGTCTCAGACTTTCCGTGGTGCAGTCCAGGTGCGAGGTGGGGGCCTCTGAGGTGGCCCGAGCCGAGGTGTCCTGTCTTGGCCTGGGCTGTAAGGATGAAAGCGATGTTGGCGGGGAAAACAAGACGAAGCGGGGCATGATAACGTTGAGGATAAGGAGGATGGGGAATGTGGCTACGATGCTGGAGATGATGATGATGGCGATGATGTAGGTGATGACTGTAATGGAGATGGTGAAAGCGACGGCAGTGGCAATGGCGACGGCGAAGATGCTGACTACGATGATGACAGTACGACATGATGAGATGATGATGATGATGATAATCATGATGATGATGATGATGACGATGATGGACATGGTCGCCTCATAATGATACTTGAGGACGACGGTGCAAGAGACTCTGCTGATAACGATGATGGTAGTCAGGATGCTGACAACGACGATGAAGACGACAACGACGGCGACAACGACGACGAGGAGGAGCACGAGCACGAGGACGAGGACGAGGACGAGGAGGACGACACCGACAGCGACGGCGACGGCAACCACGAAGGTCCGGTTGGCGATGACGGCGATGAGGATGACGGTGACATTGAAGACAGGGACAGGGGAGAAGGGCGAGGATGACGATGAGGATATTATATATTGATAGTGGAGAAGAGCAGGAGCAGTGGCTGGGCGAGGACGCAGACACGGTCACAACGAGGACGACAACGACGAAGACGGGACGAGGAAAAAGATGATGATGATGATGATGACGATGATGACGACAGCAATGGCGGCCGCTCTGGCTGCCTCCGCTGTACCATGATTACAACCAATACCATTACGCGACCGCAACGACGCCAAAGCATCGTCATCATGGGAGCTAGAAGCCTGCTCTCGGCTTGAGGCTTTGTCACTGGCAGCCGGCTCTCCTGCGATTGCTTCGGTTTTTCCGCAGCCTTGGCAAGACATGCTCGGGGGCTTGGCGGCACATGTGAATCTGCCATTTCGGCCGGCAGGCACTGTTAAGTCGAAGTCGCAACATTGCTCAGTCGGTTGGAATCAATGGCAACAAAGGGGGACGCCTCGCTCTCGCTAGCCTGCCCTCTGATTTCGATCAACTCCGCAAGTTCTAGTGCAATTGGCCAAAAGAAGGATGTTCTGCACTCTCAACATCATTGCTTTGCATGTTAGTGTCACAACAGTGCTACACCCTGTACTATACCCCGAGATATAGCCGAAAGCCTCTGCCCCCACTTCGTCTCAGCCAGCCTTGGACGCCACAGGCTCGCCCCAAGCAGATGCCACCTCCCAAACAGTCGTATCAACGAAGACTACCCACGGGCTCTGCGACTACGGTTCAAGGTGAGAGGCTTTGAGGTTTTCCCGAATGCACGTCGCCTTCCTTTTGCAGGATTTTTGTGTATATGCATGTATGCATATACATACATATGTATATATCTGCATCTGCATATACATATATATATATACATATATATTATATATATGTAAGTATATATGTGTGTATATATGTATATATATATATATATGTGAGAAATGCCCCAGGCCGCAGGTCTTGAAGCCCCACGACCTCAACCCGAACCCCTCAAGCACAAACGATCAACCCACTAAATCCTCTGCCCCTCTACCGGTTACCCTAAACGCTGAACCCTGAACCCAAGCCTCGGGTTTCGAGGCAACCGGTGCGGCCCAGGCAGACGCGAGAGCAGGCTGCCGGCGAAAAGGCGGAGCTTACCGTTAGAGCTTAGGGTTTAGGGCTTTGGCGTTTAGAGTTTCGAGTTTAGGGTTTAGGCATTAATTAGGGGTTTAGGATCTAGGGTTTAGGGGTTTAGGGTTCCCAAACACTTAAAAGCTTCGGCTTCGGCTTTGGACGCGGCCACAAGAGGACCCCCTTTCGAGGCTTAGGGCTTCTTTTGAGGGCCTTTTGTGTCTGCAGGTGCAAGCGCAGCCAGGATTGGGCAAGCATAGGTTTAAAGTTTGCTTTCGGGGTTCAGGGGGGGCTTACAAACTCCTGCCTCCTTGCGGGCTAGCATTTTGGCCACACGTGCTGCCGCAGCAGTGGTTGCATTAGCACCTTAGCACAGAGCAACTCCGAGAGCCTGCAAAATCTTAAATAAGTAAACCATATACCTTAGACTCAGATGATGAAGGGACACTCCGTAAAGAAAAAGGTTTAGCAGTCCCTGGGCCGTGAGATGCCGCCACTAAGGGGTTGGCCGGAGGCCCGCGCATCGGGAGGCGCCTCTGCTGAAACTCCCCCGGCGAAAGTTTAGGGTTTGGAGTGCAGGATTTAGGATGTAGGATTCAGAAAGTTTAGAATTGAGGGTTTAGTGGTTAGTTTTAGGGTTTAAGATGTCTTGCTGCACAAGGTCTGATAGTTTTTGCCAAGATGGTGTCACCGCACGAAGTGGCCCAGCAGGTCCAGAAACCCAATAAGTTTTGCACTTCAGGCCCCAAGAACCCCAGTATGTCAATTTTTCGGTGGGCTTCCATGCTTGCCTGCTCCATGTCGGCCTGGGGTTTACTTCCCATGAAGGGGAGAATCCGGGTGTACCTTTTTGGGCTTAGAGTTTAGGGTTCAAGGCTTAGGGGTCTACATTCCGCACCCATGATTTGCCCGCATGCGGTCTTCAGTGGCCCACGCCCGGATCACGCTGGACAATCCGCTACCAAAGCAACGCCTGTAAGCTTTTCTTCGCAATCGATGCCCTGAACACCGGAGATCCTAAACCCTAAACCCTCAGCCCTAAACTCTCAACCCTCCACCCACAACCCTAAACCCTAAACCCAAAACACCCGTTGGAGTGTGGTGGAACCTTGGAAGGCGCCGACGCAGGAGGCCTGGCCAAAGCGTGGGCTTCAAGGTGTAGAGTGGACCTTGGGGTTTAGGGTTTAAGGAAATGGGGTTTAATGTTTAAGGGATTTAGGGATTTATAGTTTAAGGATTTAGGGTTTAAGGTTCAAGGGATTTAGGGTTTAAGGTTTAAGTGATTTAGAGTTTGGGGTTCTTAGGTTTAGGGATTCAGGGTTCAGGGATTTACGGTTTAGGGCTTGGGGATTCAGGGTGTGGGGTTTTAGGTTTCAAGGTTCAGGACTTTTGGACTATCTGCCTTGTGGTTGTGGGTACAGGATGCAGGCTCCAGGGTTACGGCGCAGGCTAGGGCCTAAGGGTTTTGGTGCAGCTGAAGTTCAATACAACAAACGCAGCATACCTTGCAAGGACGCAACAGGAATCTGAGGCAGGGATTTAAGGCCTTGCATGTGAACCTGCCAGCCAACATTGTAACATCCGTCTGACAGATGTAAGGGTCTGAGTCATAGTGAAACGCTGCAAAATCGTGCTTCATAACTCGCCACCCTTGTACTGTCGTGATTCCAGTCATCCCCGCAGCTTGAGCCTTAACCCCCAGCTCTTTCATGATTCGTGTTGGGAGCTTGAGAAACTAAGCAACCCTAATACAGACCGCAAACATTGGTAGTGTCTTTACAAAACACCGAAACAGTGGGCCCCTACTTGCTGATGAAGGCAGTGCCTCCAGGGCTTGCTTTCGCCGGGCGGCCGCCCAGGCACCTGAGATGTAGCCGCACGGTGGCTTCAGGATTTGCGAGTCTAAGAGTATGGGAAAGGGCACGAGCACCTTGAGTTCTTGCTTGTGGAAGTTCGGGCCAAAACGGTCAATACTGTCCGCTTGCGGTAAAAGCGGTAAATTTCAACTGCTTTCACTGTGTTGGACGTCGTGCGATGGTCATCCTGTGTACTGGATCGCTCCACTATCGGTGCTGACTTCCTGCTACTTCTGGCGCCGGATTGAACCGACTAGAAAGAGGAGGAGGGGGAAGAGGAGGAGGAGGAGGAGGAGGAGGAGGACGAGGCGACAGACTGTGCCAAACATGCGGATGATCAAGCTGATAACAAAGAGGCTGAGCATGAAGAGACGGATACACGCGAGGATAGATACAAACAGGACACCGACGATGACGAAGAAGAGAACGATTCTGCCCATTCATGATGATGGTAATGGTGCTGATGATGCTGATGTTGATATCTATGACGATGTTAATGTCGTTGCTGATGATGATGACAACGGTGGCGCTGATGACCACAGTAAAGGTGGTGATGACGGTGATGATGATGACAACTTTGATGATGATGATGATGGCGAGGATAACAATGATGATGATGATGATGATGATGATGATGATCCCGATGGCGTGATGGTGGTGGTGGAGATGAATGTGATAATGATGATAATGCTGATAATGATGACGGGTCTGACGATGATGATGACGGTGATGAAGATGAAAATGATGATGGGTGGGGGTGATGGCGATGGCGATGATTATGAGGGCATGGACTCTCTGATTGTCATGCCTAGCCTGCTCACTGCGTCGCTGCGAGGGCCTCTGGTCGGCTGGCCTCGGCTACAGCATCAGCTCCGGGCACCACGGTTAGGGACTTAAGGTTTTAGGGCCAGGGGTGGTTTCGGGGCTTACGAGGCCGATGAGTAGATCTCATTTTGCTTCTTTCTGCCTCCCTTGGGTGGTTTTATGCTTATCGATGAAGCCTAGACCATCGAGCATCTAGTACGTCATGGAATGGATCCACAGATCCATAGCACGACCAGCTGGAGCACGGGAGGCTGCAAGGCCGCTGCTGCTGCTCCTGTTACTGCTGCACCTGCCCCCACCATGGTACGCATCGAAGACTCATGCTCCTCCCCCTGCGGCTGCTGCCACTGCCAGCACTATGGTACTTGCGACTATCCCTGGTACCAGAACTTGCCACACTTCAGGTCGCGACAATGGGCTGGGAGAAGGAGAATTCGGCGAAAAGGCCTCTCCAGCTGCCGGGTCAGACTTTGAAGTCTTCCCGACTCCCACACAGAAGCTGAGGGTGTAGAAACCGGGAAAAGGGCAGGCAACCGAAAAGCCCTGATTCCTGACACAAGGCTCCCTAGAAAGTCGCGAGTCTCTTCGAGCAAACTTGAAAGGACTACTAGACAGGTCCCATGCTGAGCCCTGCCGCAATCCAACCTGAACCCTAAACCGTGACAAACCCACAGGAAACCTTGAAGATATAACTTCAAAACAGTCAACCCGAAAATCCCCTTACATCATCAAACCCCAGCCAGGAAACTACAAAGCCCCTAAGCACAAAAACCCCAACAAGAAGTCCCAACGGTCCCTAGGCCCCAGAACCCAATCTTGAAGCACTCAAAACCCCCCAAGGCCCAAATTCAAAAATCCCACCCTTGCAACCCTGAAGCACGAAAATCTCGCATGCCCAGCCTTGACACCCTAGAACCCTCAAAGCCCCCAAACCCCCCAAACCCTCCCCCCACCCCCAAACAAAAAGAACTAAGGTCCCTGAAAACTGGTGAACATCCGAAGATGCCCGATCTTTGGACCATGGCCTCTTCGAAGGGCCAAGCCTCTATCTTCGGCTGATACCGGTCCTCCGGGCTCTGGATTTTGCAGATGTTTCGGGCTGTTGGGGTTTAGGATTTAGGATTCTTTGTGTTTTAGTGTGCCTTTGGCGGGTCGTTCGGTCTAGCATGACCGGAGTTTGCTCAAAACTCAACAATATGAACGAGAAGTGCTGAGGCATTTTCCGAGGGTAACAAAGAAGCATCGTGATCGTCATCGGCCAAGCCTGCATACTAAACCCTGAAACCCCAACCCTAAACGCTAACCCAAAAACCATCAACATTTAAAGAGGGTGTAACAAGGGTTGCATAATGGCTTCATACGGTTTGAGGCTGTGGGTAAACTCCGAACCCCTAAGTAAGGTGCTCTTTCAAGTACCCCACCTTCAGAAGCTCACTACAAAGACCCATGAATGGAACAAGTTTTGCAAGCGCGCCAAAGACCCCTAAATAGTTTGGGGAGTTTCGGGGCTCCTCCGGCGCCGGCTCAAGTTTGGCGACGCTGACAGCCTTCCAGGACGCGTGCTCGTGCTTCTCAAGATTGCGGGGTACCTTACTTAGGGGCTTAGGGTCTAAGGGTGCCGTAATGCTAGGAATGCCTCATTCTGTTTAGGGTGTCCTTATGATGTGTTTCTGAAACTTGCGGGGTGTTGAATGACATCTTCTGTACGCGTCCTTCTCAGGAGTTTCTTACCATTAGGTGTACGGGGACCCGATTGAGGGGTAGCTTCTTTGGGGATGAACATGAATATGCTATCTAGAGCTCATATTGGGTGGTGTACCGGTGTACCCCATTGAAAGGATCCTCAAAAAATGAGTACCCTACTATCCTACCATTCAGGTGCTACATCATCCTTCCATTCAGGATCCTGCTATTTCGGACGGGGTCCCCTGTTCCCTGAAAGGCCCACTTCAACCAAATGCCCGATGCTCTTCCAGTCAAGCAGTGCTGTAGCCCTTTGGATCTTTACAGGTCAGGTCAGTTTAAGGTTTCGGGGTCTTGGGGCTCCGATCGCTGCGATGTGCTGTTCAGGGGTTTACTTACCTTTGGTTAGAAGGGAATGGAAGAATGGTAGTAGTAGTAGTAGTAGTAGTAGTAGTAGTAGTAGTTGTAGTAGTAGTAGTAGTAGTAATAATTGCACCCCCTTCCTCCATTCCCTACTAACCAAAGGTAAGCTTAGGTTGCGGAGCCCATGTGAAAGCAGCCTTCGGTCGCGGCGGTGACTCGGTGCCAGGCAGCTGGCCATCCTCGCACACAGAGCTGCACAGAGTGAACCTCCCTGAAGTAGAAGAACTACCCTGTAGCATATGAACTGCTTTTGTAACAACAACTCGGTTGAAGCATATCTTAGCACAGCTGACGATTCTGTGATAAGGCCACCAGTACAAGACCATCGCAGTTCTGAGTTCTGAGAGCCTGAATCTTCAGACCCACAGAGTCTGAATATGAGAAACAGCATATGTTATGCAACTCATAACATATAAAATGCGACTGTCAGATATACTCGACATGCACATCTATATACACATAATATACTGTATCTAATATATGATATATAAGAGACGATATATCAGATATCTCATGGCTCTAGCGCTCAGGCCCAGACCTGTGCCGCGGCTCCTGTCGGCCTGGGCAACGGATGCGGGCAGCACTCCAAACTTCGACCCATTGCCGTAAGCCCCCATGCCCCTAAATCCCTGAACCATGCGCCCCTAAAACGATGACCCCCTTCCCTACGCGTAAGGGACTGAAAAACTCTGTTCGAAATATATCATAATTTTCGATACCCCCAAACCCGGTTCGAAACGCTCAGGTCCGCTCGCAGTAAGCGCTTTCCGGGCTCCGCACTTGGAGGAGGCCGCGGGGGAGGTGCCCGAGATGGCAGGGCTCTCTTTCGCCTTACAGGAACTTGGGGGGTTCTAGAAGGGATCTTCTAGGGCTCTAGAAGTAGAAGGGTTCTAGAAGGTATCTAGACGGGATCTATAAGGGGTCGAAAAGGGGCCTTAGAGGGTTCAATAAACGGCCCATAAATGGGTCATTCGTTTGATCAGGTTTAAACCATAAGGCCTCCTAAACGTTTAGTAGTGAGGTTTAGGAATTAGGTCAGAGTTCGACGGCCTCGAGGATCGGCTCGCCGTACTTCTTGCAGACGTGCTCGTACACCTCCCACTCGGAGCCGGCGTACCTGGGGGTTTCCGAAAATAAGGGACGCTAATATACGACCCTAAATAGTAGGATCCTATTACCTCGGAGAAGGACTAAGTATTGGCGGGAAGGGAGTGGTGCTAGGGTTGCTCACTGAATCAACCTTCCCGAAGTCACACACAGGACCGTAACGCTGAACCCTAAACCCCAAACCCTAAACCCGAAACCAAAACACCCTAAATCAATAATTACACAAAAACCATGGCTGCTGCACTTCTCGAAGATGGAGTCGAGCTCAGCCAACTTCGTGGGGTTGCGACCTCGGAGGGAGGCAACAACCGCAGTAGGTCGACACATTCAGCGTTTAGGATTGAGGGCTTCGGGTTTCATTAGCAACAATTCTACCAGTAACCTTGACACTGATGATAGAACTCGTGACGACAGATTCAATCAAGCAATCAAACAAGGGTGATGAAAGCAACGCCAACCTGACTCTGAGACATAACATAAGACCTGTAATATACAACCTGTAATTTTCAACCTGTAGCAACTTTAGTATGTCAAACACAAAACAAACCTAAAGTCTGGCTCAAAGAACTTAGAAGGTACGGTTTCTGGCTGTCCCGAAGGGACCCAGGGGCGTGGCGGAAGTAGATGCCACGGATCAGCTCCCTCAGTCGGGCTGCCTCGCGGCTTTTCGGGTGGTGGGTCTAGGACTTTAAGGTTTAGGGCGTTGGGTTTAGGGTCTACTAGTTCCTTATTTTGACCTCAACATATATATATATATATATATATATATATATATATCTATATATATGTATATATATATATATATATATATAGGTTCCTTTAGAAAAATCGGGCCACCTTGTAGGCTTTGGGGATTAGGGCTGGGGGGGGGTTCCGAGTTTTCGGGTTCAGGGTTTATAGTTTAGGGTTGAGGGCTTTGGGGTTTGGGATTTGGGATGCAGGGTTTGGGCCTCAGGGTTTAAGGTTCAGGGTTAGGCCTTTGGGGTGTTTATGCACAGCTGCAGCTGTCCGCCTTCATAGTGTCCTTGACGGTGGGGCCTGCCAGCAAGCTCTCTCTCTCTCTCTCTCTGCCTCCTTCGCCGCCATACCAGTCTCGGGTCTGAAGCAACTCTTCTCCGAAGGTGCACCCAATCCCAAAATGGCATGCGACTGATTCATTTTGGGCCCTCTCCCTTCGCTGCTGCTGCATGGAAACACGGCACCTGCCGCAGCTTCAGCCGCAGGGCTGAGCTCTGGCTCCTGACCGTCAGGATCCACGCATTGAGAGACTAGCACTCCATATTGTAGTACCCTAACATCGGGCGGATTGAAGGGGATAGCATCGAGCACTTGGGCTTGGAAGTCCGGAAAGCTACTGTAGAGGGAGGTCTTGATGTTGATGCCAGGCTTGAGTTGGCGGAACAGTGAATAATGCTGCTCATGATTCACAACATGGACATTCATGTGAAGATGACAGTGCTAATGCAGCTTATAAGGCACATGACGACGACGATATCGATGACCATGCGGCAACAGCTGAACCCCAATCGGCGGCAGCAGCTGTTGTGCCTGCATTGATATCGGCATCCTTTGCCATCATCAGCAATGTCACCACCATCGTCATCACCACCCTCGTCTTCAGCATCATCCCCCTGATCACCAGCATCGAGAATCAACCTCATCATGTGCTCTTATTCTGCATCATCACCATCGTTCATCATCATCGTCATCATCATCGCAGCCGGGAGCGCAACACCTACTCTGCTCTTGATTGCAGCACCACTGCACTCACTCCTTCTTGTCCTTCTTGTCTTTGGGGCCCTGCCAGCAGCTGCATTGGTCGGGAAAGTATGCCCTGCTTCCAGTTCTCAACAACACCCCCTGCGGCAACACTCGGTGAAAAACAGATCTGTTATTGGACCTTGTCCTTCTTCTCCTCTTTCTTCTCCTTCTTCTCCTTCTCCTTCTTGTCCTTGGGCTCCTTGCCGGCCAGAGAGTAGCATTTCGGAAGAAGAGCCCCGGATCCGGTCGAGTCTCCGGCCTTTTTCTTCTCCATGGCCTCGCAAGCACGGAAGGTCGGGACTTCGTCGCAGCAATAAATGAATAAAACCGATGGAAGAGAGGGACCAGAGCTTCTGCCTGCGTCAATCTGCTTAAAACCCCGTCAATGCCGTAACAGCAGATAAGAACCCAGAGTACAAGACCACCGAACTCGTTGCCCAAATCAAACGCATGCCTCGGCAAAGCGTGGGTCCATGTAGTGCGCCCTGCTTCGAACAGACATCCAGGACAGAGGCTGAGAGGGTTGCTTCGGGGCATAGAGCTTTTGATTTGCGCACTGGGTCAGCATTCCTGATATAGGGTCGGTGAGCTCCAGACCACATCTGTCGTACCTACATCTACTGGTACCCTATAGTCCACCGAGGCTGCGGCCAGGGGGGCAACGGCATGCCGTGCCTCAGCAGGCTGCGATGAAAGTTGTCACGGCCCAAGTTTTGAGGCCACGACAACATCATCATCAGAGATCACTTTCCTCATCGCTGCAAGCATCATCACACTGGTCGACATCATCCTCCCCCACTGCCATCATCTTCGTCCCCATTATCAACAGCATCGCACGATGTTTGTCACCATTGCCTAGGAAGCCACGACAACAAGAAACCAAGAAGGCCCTAGATCAAGCTGCATGTCTCGCCTTTGCAGTGAGAGGAGACGAACGACAAATAATCCTAGCGATAACAAGAGAAAGATGGAGAGAGAGAGAGAGAGACAGAGACAGAGACAGAGACAGAGACAGAGACGGCGACAGCCACGGCGACAGCGACAGCGACAGGGACAGCGACAGGGACAGCGACAGGGACAGGGACAGGGACAGGGACAGCGAGAGAGAGTCAACAAGACTCCGCTGAAAGGAGAGAGGCCAAAGAAAACCCGCGGTAAAGGCTTTATTCAGAAAAGAGCCGGGACAAACAGACAAGAAGAGATGCAACTGCTCCGACTCCCGTGCTCAAGAAAACTGGAATGGAGCATGCCCTTTTGCCTTCGGTGTCAATTTTTCCGAACAATAACGCAAGCTTCCCGGGTTCGCGGCATCGTCATAGGCATGCCGTGCCTCTGTACCAGCCAACGTCTTTGACAGTTCATCCACCATGTTGCACATGTAGCGACACACATCTTAAACCAAACAAACATGATGGCAACAACTCCAAAAGCACCCCTGCAATGACCTCCTGGCACATCCGACACAATAACAATCGTGAAATCGCAAACCCCCCACTCAAGCCCGAAAACCAAAACTCTTTCTCAAGCAACCCTGAACCTGTCTTAGGATTTTCACAGGTCCAGGGCGGCGGCATGCCAGGCGGCATGTGCATCCCCATCCCAGGCCTGACAAGAGGGCGTGAGGCTACGGCTAGGGTTTAGGGTTTATAGGGTTTATAGGGTTTAGGGTTTATAGGGTTTAGGGTTTAGGGTTTAGGGTTTAGGGTTTTGGGTTTAGGGTTTGAGGGTTCAAGGTTGAGGGTTTAGAGTTAAGGGCTAAGGGTTTATACGTAAGGTCCAGGGTTGAGCGAAAGCCTTCAAAGGATTCTACATATCTATTGGGAGGTTCTTCATAACTTTAAACAAGGCAGCTAAACCCGAAACCCGAAACCCTAAGCTTTGCAGTACCGGGGCGTACTAGCTGCAATAATTCAGGGTCCTAGAGCTTCGAGCTTCCAGCAGTCCTATCGACTCCCTTCCTGTCTCAAGGTTACAAGCTTGACACATAATGGCTGTAGCTTCTGGAGAAAGGCTTTGGAGAAATTTTGCACTATCTCATCGAAACCCGAAACAATAGTATGTGCAAATACTCAAACCCCTTGTATCAAACGAGTGTCGATGTAGGCGTTGGGGTTTGGCGCTTCGAGCGTGGGGTGGCACTGCGCTGGGCTGGCTGGTGCAGAGTGCAGAAGCCCCGTCCTGCCGAAAAAAACGAGTGATGAACTAAGGCAACGCCACGACTGCACTGCTCTATCCCTGCAGAAAACCATAACCGTTGCGACACCTGCGGCAACCCCATCTCTGCGAGGCTTCGGAATGCCATCGACATCACCACCACCACAACAACAACAGCAACAGCAGCAGCAGCAGCAGCAACAGCAACAGCAACAGCAACAGCAGCAGCAACAGCAGCAACAACAACAATAAACCACAACCATCAACATCATCATCACCCACCATCATCATCGTGGTCATCATCCATCATCATCATCCTCCTCAACATCACCGTTGTCGCGAAGGTCCCATGCAACTTCTACGTTCCGATCTTTGGTCTTTGGAGCCAAGGTGCATCATGTGCATCGGCAGATGTGGCGGAGGGGTGCTGGTCAGACCCTGGTTCTCCTTGCCACGCTTCTTCTCCTTCTCACGGTCCTGACCAGGGGAGGGCATAGAGCCCTGATGTGAGGCTTTATAAGGATGTCATTATTAAGGCTTGTAGAAGGGCTTTTTTTGGCGCATACGGAAGGGCTGGAGGGGTTTTGATGCTGTTGGGCGGGGTTTGAGCTCCAGGGCTTCGGAGTGTCCTTGTCCTTGTCCTTCCGCTTCTTCTCCTTTTCCTTGTCCTTCTCCTTTTCCTTATCCTTCTCCTTCAGCTCCTGCAGCACACGAAAACCCGTGGGACGAAACTCTTCAAGGTCATTTGCGTGATATGTCATCGAAGCCCCTGCCCACCTTTTTGACAGCTTTCATGTCTTGCGTCTTCTCCCTGCCGACATTGCCGGAACTGAAATGAACTTGTGCCGAAGCCTTACTGTCAACCTTCAGTTGCGTTGATTCAAGAATTTCTGAGATGCATTCCAAGAAACCATAGAAGGTTCTTGTATGTGCCACAAATTGTCGAAACCACAAACCATGCAAACTGGCTGGCCTGTGATGACCGTGACCTGTCCTCTTGCGGCCTCATATAAGCACGATCGAAGACGACAAGGTCACCAGTGATAGCTACACTCGGCCCAATTGAGACAAGAAGAGAATTGACTGCTATTCGCGCGATGACACTGATCGGTGATTTGAAAAGCGAAAAAAACGGTGATGGCTAATGCTCTACAGTCGTAATGATGGCATTAACAACGGTCACAATAACGCTGCCAGCAAAAACCGTAGGCGCGGTATGGGTCGGTGACAGCACTAACACCATCAATAGCAATTGGGGCTCGGGTTTCGGGCAAATCTTAGCTTCTCTGAATTCTCGGACACAGCGTCAGATTAGCTTTAGGGGGCCGTTCTTCTCATGCTTCTCGTGTTTGTTGCGGTTCAGAGATGGGCTGTGGGGTTGACGGCTTGTGGTTGAGGGTTTACCGTCTGGGTGTTGGAGAGAAGCTTCAGACTTTGAGCTTTTGCACAGGCAGGCGACAGACTGCAACCGGAGCCCTAAAAAAGCCCGGAGGAACCGCGAAACCCGGTGGTTCAACCTCCGCGTACGCAAATTCCTCAGCAACCTGAAAACACAGACCTAGCATTGAATCCCTGCCTTTGTGCTTTTTCTCATGGCGGTCCTGGCGAAAACAAAGTCGCGTGTCGTGTTGAATCTGGGGACGAAGTCGGGCTCTGCGCAGTAATGTGACTAGTGCACATCATATGTCGGATCTCTCACTGTGATTTCCAATATCATTGTTGTGGCCACGAAACCGAGACTCGCCTGAGGCCAAACTTGAAGCCTAAACTGCTATTGGATCAGGATATTCGGGAACGGGTTGAATGCCGCATCCTGGACTGTCGGATGGTGTAAAATGGAACACCCCATCACGAAGCTGAAACGACCCTTGAGGCCTCCTCGCTTTCCTCGCTGGTGCTGTCCTTCTGTTTCTCCTTGGCTCTCAGCTGGATAAGAGCTTCTCACTCTTGTCCCTTCTCTTGTTGTGAGCACTACTGTGCTCACGTTCAAGGCTTGGCGTTTTGGCAGTTTTTGGTACTAGCAGTGGCAGTAGCAGTAGCAGCAGAAGTACTCCTTGTCGTCGTAGTCGTAGTCGTCGTAGCCGTCCTCGTCGTCGTCGTCCTCGTCGTCGTCGTCGTAGTGGTAAGGGTAGTGGTGGTGGTGTAGTAGTAGTAGTAGTAGTAGTAGTAGTAGTAGTAGTAGTAGTAGTAGCAGCAGCAGCAGTAGCAGTAGCAGTAGGAGCAGTAGTAGTAGTAGTAGTAGTAGTAGTAGTAGTAGTAGTAGTAGTAGTAGTAGTAGTAGTAGTAGTAATGGTAGTAGTAGTAGTAGTAGTAGTAGTAGTAGTAGTAGTAGTAGTAGTAGTAGTAGTAGTAGTAGCGGTAGCAGCAGCCGTAGGAGTAGTTGTTGTAGTTGTTGTTGTTGTTGCAGCAACAGCAGCAGTAGCAGCAGCAGTAGCAGCAGTAGTAGTAGTGGTTGCTTTGGTCGTCGCAGCGGTAGCAGTAGCAGTAGTCGTTGGAGTGGTAGCAATAGTGGTAGCAACAGCAGTTGAGAAGTAGCGGCAGCTGTAGTAGCTGTTGCTGCAGCAGTACGAAAACACTTGTGAGTTTGGGCTCCGAATGAACCCGGGGACCATACCTTTCAACCTTCGGGTGGACACCTTCTACGCAAGAACTGTCGTTGCTTGGCCCCGGTCGAAGACCGTGAGCGGCGGCTCGATCGAATCCAGATCCTGACAAAGTTCAAAGGGATAAACAGGCTTCCAACAGCTCTGAATGAAGCTAAAACCCAAAACCCCTAGACTACTGAAAACTCCCCGAAATTCGCATAATCCTGAACTCAGTGCTTACCCTAAACGCAAAATCCGCTGAGGGTAAGGGATTCGAGCTTGGCGGCCTCCTTGGTCTCGCCGTACTTGTTGCAGACATACTCATAAGCCTGCCGAGGTGCGACTTTTCGCCGGAGTCTTTCATCGCAGTCGGTTATTGCTAGCGTTGCTTTTACTCCGGTTATTGCCGTGACTATTACTAATGTTGTTACTGTTTCCTATCATTATTATTATTGATGTACATACTGATGCAATACTGTGGTAGTGCACCATGACACCAGTATGGAAGAAAAACCTGCTGGAGCGTATAAAACGAAGATAACTTGGTTCGCATGTGAATAGTAGCATGTAGACATCCGGTGACAAAAGAGCGAGACAGTGCATTCAGGTAGCGAGGAGTCGTCAGAGTGGGCAAATTAGGAATCATCAAACTCTACAAACAGAGGAATGGGAGAAGCATTGACATCATTACAGCTCACACAATCTTCGTGAACGTCGCCACTCAGAGACGAGCAGAGCCTGCTCGAGCTTGTCGGCATACTTTGCCAAGAGGTCGTCCAAGTCGGCAAGCTTCTCTGGGTTCTTCCTCTCGTAGACTCCACCTCAGTCTGAGGATCCGAGGCCCAATAAAAGCTGAAAGAAGGCTCGGATATTTCGCAACAAACATTGATGGGGATGCGGCGTATGAGCTTCCGAAGCCTTGCGTCCTTCGGGGAATCCTTCCAGGATTTGGAACATGAGTAGGCTTTATAGGGCTTCGGGAAATCATCGCCATGCGACCCCAACTATGCCTGCGGCAGCCACAGCTCAACCTTCCCTCAGAAATCGAGGCAAAGCACCTGCGATGAGCAGGCCTGCAAGTCCCTGTACCTAAACCGAAACCTAACCTAACCCCTAAACAGCAGAGCCCCTGAACCCAAACCCTGGTCCTCCTGTGCCTCCTTCTTCAGATCCGTTGGCTCATCCTCCTTTCCCTCTGCTGACGACGTGCCAGGGTCCTGCAGCCACGAAATGCAAAAGGATGATGTTAAAACAGGTAAGGTCGAGGGTCTAGAAAATAGGGTTTAGGGAGGGACGAGGGTTAAGGGGTTTAAGGCAAATATGAGGTTCAGGTTTTGGGTTTGAGGGTCTAGGTTTGGGGCTCAGGGTTTAGCCTGCAGCCAAGGCCCCCCAACCCTAAACCCGAAACCCAGAATGCCTGAACCCCAAAAACCCCCCAAACCAGAATCACTAAAAACCCAAAGGCCCCCCAACCCTAAACTCCCACCCCAAGAATCCCTCAACACATCAAGGCTCCCAGAAAAAGGGCTCCGGGACAGGCCTGGGGAGATGGCGGAGCCACGGAAGGCGCCTTTTCCGAGGAGGCCTTCTCGCGTGGCTGAGAGCTGTGACGCGTTTTAGGGGTTGAGGGTGCGAAGATTCGGGATTAGGGATTAGGGTTGAGGGTTTCGGGTTTAGGGGTCAGGGGTGTGGGGTTTAGGGGATTCAGGGGTTGAGGAGTTTGGGAGTTTGGGGGTTTGGGGGTTTAGGGGTTTAGGGGTTTAGGAGTTAGGGTTTCGGGTATGCCCAGAGAGGCAAATGCACCTCGAGCCCCTTTGAGTTCAGGAATATGCCCTAAGCCATGATATGAAGTCCCTCAGAATCCAACTCAATATGCCTTCAATCGTATTTAGCCCATTTCAGCCCCCTAGACTTCAAGGAAACCCTAAGTTCCAGGGCTAGGGGGGGCTTTTTATGATGAACTGAAGCATATTCCTGAGTTTGGGGCTCTTTGAAAGTCTGATGGGCTCAGGGCTTAGGGTTTCAAAGGGTTTATAGGGGTTTATATGCGGGTTTATAAGGAGAAAAGGAGGTTCCAGCGGTGAGATTGGTTTTGCACACGGGACTTAGACTTAAGGTTTAGCAGGGTTTCTGAGTTTGGGGTTCAGCTTTCGTGAGAGTTTAGCGTTGAGGGTGTAAGGTTGCAGGTTTTTGCAAGATGCCACACGGACGATCCAGATGCACCATGACCACTATGTGTAAGGCTTCAGGTTTGGGCAGCAGGAATACTGATGAGAATAATCATCAAAGAAGATTTGCGGACACGAAAACGCAACGTCGAAAGCCTCCATCAGCAGAGGAGACCGTACATCCAAGACGCTCTTGTTTGGTACCCGCGACGAGACAGCACATGAGTCTTGAAATTGATCTTATGGAGGCAAGGCGTTCTCTTGCAGACCTGACATCACAATCCCAGATTTGTGGAAGCATGCTCCGAGTCGCAGATGTTCCGGTCTGCCAACAGAACTTGCGACAGCGATGCTGTAGGACGAAAACAGCTTTTGTGGCATGATTTTCCATGCCCGTCGGCTGCCACGGCCACTTGGAACGTATGGAACATGGGCACTGCTCCTATGAGTGCCTGGATGCTGTACAGTTGGCCAAAGGCCGCGACCGGCTCCTGGCTAAAATGCAGGGAAACAGGAAGCAACCCCTGGAATGAAACCTGTGATCAAACGGTGTTTACGCACAACCACGTCCCAATAGACGGCCAGCGAGCAACCGGAGCTCTCTTGCCATAGTTCTCGGACGCTTGCTTCACGGCGCCCCCTCACTTTCCGCTGAAAAGCATCTGGGTTTTCCGCCACATCGATGAGGTACCTGTTCAGCTTCCGGACATACCGTCGGTGCGTAGTATGATCGGGTGGTAGTGCTCTGCTCGGAGGCATCGAAAGAGACTCCGGCACAAAGAGCACCGGGGCAGCATCGCAGTGTTCCATGCTCCGGCTGCTTCCACCGCACCCCATAGCCCCGGCTCTATGGGCCTATTGGGCCACTGAAAAGAAGACCTTTCGGGGCTTTTTGGGCCCAACGGCTGCCGGTACTTGTCATTCGCAGCAATATGAGCTCTGGAAGTCTAGAGGTGGTGAACTCACTAGTCGAGGGTCCTGGCAGACCTCTTGCTAAAGCCGCTATGTGACAAGAGGCTTCCAAGGTCCGGCGCAGTATCAGTGTAATATACCTTAATAACCTTCACAACAACACTTATAGTATTCACAGCAACAACGGTAACAACACTAACAATAAGAACAGCAAAAGTATGTGTATGTAAATACACATATATATATATATATATATATACCAAGAATCACATATGTACTCTGAAATACAATACTACAATCCAGTTGATGATGCTTCTTTCTGAGCTCGCATTCCGAAGCCCTCGCATGGTTCTAGCCGCCTTTATCCAGGCACGTACCCATCAGCTTGGAAACGTACCTGAACTGACCAGAAAGCAAAACGCCCGAGAAACTCAGAATAGAACGGAAAGCAGAAGCCCCGAAGCTGGAACATGCCTTGCTGGAGGGCGGCTTCTCATCCTCAGACTTTGCCAACTCGGAGCCCTGCCGTCCCGACATGTTTCACAAGAGCGCCACATGCTTTTGGCACGTAGATATCATGTAGTAATAATAAGGAGAAGATTGAAATGAAAATAGTAATGAAAATCATACGAGCAATTCTAGTACAAAAAACAAATATGACAATGATAATGGCAATGATACTTACAATGATATTGATAATTACTACTACGAATGACTTTGCAAGTTTGCGGCTGCGTCCCGATAGACTCGACAAGCCTCTCAGAATCAGATAGAATCAGAATCAGAACTACGAATGACTTATGACTTCGGTGAGGTCTAAACACGTCGAGACTACTGGCCTGCCTTCGGGCTTTCAGGCTCTGTGGGTACCATCAGGGGTCGATCCCCTTTGCCTTCATGAACTCTCTTGCTTGCACTCAGCCAGAGAGGGCGCAGCTGCAACCCCCTCGCGCATGAACTCTCTCTCTGTCTCTCTCCCTCTCGTCTTCTTCTTCTCCCAGGCTTAAGGGGCGAGTCTCTCTCTCTCTCTCTCTCTCTCTCTCTCTCTGCGACGTCCGATCATGAAGTGAGCTCCCAGACCCTTAGTCCACCTAACCCCGAACCAATTGTCCCAAACCTGTAACGGCTCAGCCCGAACCCCTAGAATCCAAATCCAAAACTCACTGTCTCCCCTGTTGCTTCTCTACCTTTGTGAACGCTGGGCTTTCGTTCCGAATCGCCGGGTGCCTTCTCCTCCTTCGGTTCCTCCGATTCCTTCGGACCTGACTCCCTGACACCTCGCCAGGGTGCTGTGGCAGGTTTTTCCAGGTTTCCCCAGGAACTTCTGAGAGACGGTGGGGTAGGGTCAGGGGCTTCAGGGAAGTTTGGGATGTCAGACCTGGGTTTCGGGCTGGGGGTTTGGCTGAAAAGCCCGAGACCCGTACATCGCAAAGCTGACACCTCACCCCTGCATAAACCCCCCCAAGCCCTAAACCTGGATCTTCAAGCCCTACCTGTAGCCGAAAAGGCCTACCTTTTTCAGGAACTCTATACAGAAACCATAAAAAGGAATCCTAAAAAGGTAGGTCTTTTCGGCTACAGGTAAACCATAAACCCTAAACCTTGGACTCTGAAACTCCTGGAGCCGGGATCTTAAGAGTCTGAGATTTCGGGCTGAGGTTGTGACAGCCTATGAAAAGCACCCAAAAATCCGAAACCCTCACGCTAAACCCCGAATTAGAGCCCAAAAACACTCCAGAGACTGCGGAGGCACCTTCCGAAGCCTGCAGAAGACGAGCAGATGCCTGCTCACCGACTCTCTTTCTTGATGGGATACGAGCACAGGCAGCATAGGTGGTGTAGGCTTCGGGTATGAGGCTCTCTGGCGTCATATAGCGATGCCTTCTGGTACTCTTGACGTCAATATCACTGCGAGTAGTCCCTCGCACTTGGCTGTTTGCTGCAGCTGTCAAAGACTCATGGCTACTAGTGACAGCTGCCAATGTTATGTGCTACAGCTCCTGCTTGCCAAGCTCGTCTCATTATCACAAGAAGCTCTCGCTCTGAAATACAACCATTAGTGTTCAGGAACGGGAAACCAAAACCACTGTGCAGGTCCTGAAAGCCGCTATCCTCCGGAGCAGACCTTTGCAGGCGAGAGTGTCTAAAGGCTCGGAGCTTGGTTTCCATTTTCGTATATAATGTATATTGTATATGAAAATGACACATAACAAGTACATGTACGTATATAGTAAGATATATGTATATGTATATATAGACTAGATGAAGTCTGTCCGAAAGCGATTGATGCTTCTCTCATTGTCATCGCTGGCAGTCGAGTGTCGTTGTGGACAAAGAGAAGGCTAACGCTCTGCTGGCCCAAGCAGAAAAGCCAATAACATAGACCCTTGACTTACAAGGCATGACATCAGGATGATGATACTTGTTGCTGTCTCGCTGCTTGATTTATCGGTTTGGTCACAGCCGTGTTTGCTGCGATTGCTGTTGCTATTCTGAATATATCTTTCTGGGTTCGCCCTAGTAACTATAGTTGTCGCCACCATATCAACAGCAACCAACTGTAGAAGCAGCAAACAATACAGACCAAACAAGAAGAGAGATTAAAGAAACAACGCACAACCACCAAATCCCCAATCCTTGCTCTCGTACACTATGCTCCACCCGGAAATCTCATCAAACCAAACCCCTAAACCCTCAACCCTAAACCCTTAAACCCTAAACTCTGAAAACTCAGCCCTCCTGGCAAGAGCTCAAGGGGCCCTGGCCCTGGCTCCGTCTTCACCTCGTCCGCTGAGCCCTTGGCCTGACCCGGCTACCGTTGCTTTCCCGTTTCCAAGTACTTTAGGGACTGAAGGGCTTAGGGCAAAACAGGGGTTTAGCGTTTTGTTGGTTTAGGGCTTGCTTCAGGGGTTTAGGCGGTTTAGGGTTTGGGGTTTTAGGGTTTTGGGCGTTTGGGGCTCTCAAGGGGTTCAGGGCTGAGTGTAGTTTTGGCACGAGACCTCCTCCCGCCGTCCGTCCAAGGCACCGAGCATCATGCGCCGGGAGGCCTCAGCGAAACATGGCGGCTGGATGATTAGCGAGAGCTCATGTCATGAATCTAAACTCAGACGGTAAACTGCAACATAATATGATCTAATAAAGCACAAACTAACATAATAGTATCACATGATATCATGGCAACACTCCATGAGGACAACACTTACCGCGCGGTGTAGGACTACTGCCGCTCGGCAGCTAGCAGCCATGTCGGCAAGGTTCAATCCCTCAACACATGCTTTGGGTCTTTGCGTTTTGGGTTTTGTTGGGAGCCTCGGGGATAACGCCTGAAGATTCATGGCAAACAATCGCTTCAGTAGCTTCGGGGCCTTGGATTTTTGCACGGCCCTTGACTGTGGTACTAGATACGCATTGGCGACAACTTTTTGCAGCAGCAATAGTAGTGTTGTAGTCGCAGCCGCCGTAGCCGTAGAGAAATATTTGTCGAAGTCGAAGTCGCAGCCGTAGCCGTCCGTAGTTGTTGTTGTCGTCGTCGATGTAGGAAGAGAAGTTGCAGTAGCCGTGGTAGTAGCCGTAATCGTCGTCCTTTGTCGTAGTCGTAGCCGACTAGTCGGCAGTCGGTACTCCGTGGTCGGTAGTCGGAGTCGTAGCCCTAGTGGCAGTCACGGTAGTCTAGTCGCAGTGCTCGTCGGAGTCGTTGCAGTCGTCGTCACCGCAGTCGTCGCCGACATTGTCGTCGTAGTAGTATGCAGACGGAGCAGCATAACATAGCATGACCGTGGCACTTCCTGTTTAATGTTTAAAGACACCGGAAAATCTCAACCAAAGCCAGCCCCTTTAACCAGTTTATGCAACAACCGGGACTCCCAGGATGGCCCTGATCTCCAGCCAACCGAGCTGCTGCTTTGGGGCGCGGCGCCCCCGCCTCCAGCAACGCTGCCTGAGGAAGACCAGGGTTTTCTCGATCTTGCCAGCCGGATCTGCTCATCCTCCCAAAAAATCCGAAACCTCCGACACCTGCTCAACCCTGAACCCCAAACGCCCTTAAACCCGAGAAACCTGAACCCAAACCCGGCAACCCGAAGCATCCTTGCAAGCAAACACCCCTGCGCCTTGGTCGGCTTGCTCGGTTTCACAGCCTCCTGGAAAAGGGGTCGGAGTGGCGTTTCCAAAGTCTCGGTTAAGGACGGTTTAGGGTCTGGGGTTTGGGCTTTAGGGCAGGCTTCTTCTGCTTAAAGGCTGTACCTTTCAAGTCTCATAGGCTGCAGGACTCCAGAGCGCAGTGCCGGATCACACTTTCCAAAATCTCTCGCTCCGACATCCTGCTAAAATATGAAGTAGAGGACTCACTCCGTCCGCCCGTTTGCCAAGACAACTTCTGCTGGCGCCTCGGACGGCTCGCGCTCACGGCACTCGGACTTGTCCTTCTCCTCTTTCTTCCCTCAGAAAGAGAAAAAGATGAAAGAGCAGGTGGAGCGCAGAAACATGCAGAAACTATAAAACTGTCCCGAATACTCGTCAGTGCAATGCACCATCTTTGTCTTTCTTCCGTTTCCTCTTCTTTTTCTTCTTCTCCTGAATTTGCCAGTGGCGAAATGAAGCAACAGCACATCTACACAGAAGCTGCGAAAATCGCAGGGACCTGCATATCGTCGTACAATCGGATATACAGCACATCATGCGGCTTTACAACGGAGCATGCAGCAGTTGACACACTGTTCACGACTCGGAACCTAGCTCCAAGCTGAATTCCGGCCTCTTGCTCTGGCTGCTCCGGCTGTTCTTGCTCCCTGCGAACGCGCACACACCAAGGTGGCACTGCCTGCAGCTGACTGGTGCCAGTCCCTACCTCGCCGGGCTCTGTTCCTCGGGACTCTTTGGTGCCTCCTCGACATCACGACACAAGGGAAGAAAGGGATGAAGTCGCAAGCTGGGTCGTCCTGAGGTTCCGGTCGATCTTCTTCCGCCTTCTCCTGGACGCGCGTCGCGCCGACCCCGCACTCCAAATCTCTGCAACCGTTCGGCCGTTCTTCAGCCGACTCCACATCGTCCGTCCTCCACTTCAGCTTCCTCCTTCGCAGCCTGTGCTAACAAATTACTGTCCTTGTCTTTTTTCCGTTTCCGCTTCTTTTTCTTCTTCTCCTGTGACCAGCACTCACGGAAACTCAACAGGGCCACAGACAATCCGGCTTACTGAACATATCTGTGGAATTTGGGGGGGCTTCGAAAACTTCCCAGCCCACCCTTGTCAGAAAGTTACGCCTTGAGTGACGCTGTGTCGAAATGCACTCTTGTGCACTCTTACATCACATCATGCGGCTTTACAACGGAGCATGCAGCAGTTGACACACTGTTCACGACTCGGAACCTAGCTCCAAGCTGAATTCCGGCCTCTTGCTCTGGCTGCTCCGGCTGTTCTTGCTCCCTGCGAACGCGCACACACCAAGGTGGCACTGCCTGCAGCTGACTGGTCCCAGTCCCTACCTCGCCGGGCTCTGTTCCTCGGGACTCTTTGGTGCCTCCTCGACATCACGACACAAGGGAAGAAAGGGATGAAGTCGCAAGCTGGGTCGTCCTGAGGTTCCGGTCGATCTTCTTCCGCCTTCTCCTGGACGCGCGTCGCGCCGACCCCGCACTACAAAACTCTGCAACCGTTCGGCCGTTCTTCAGCCTACTCCACATCGTCCGTCCTCCACTTCAGCTTCCTCCTTCGCAGCCTGTCCACCCTTCCCCTGCACGGCAGGAACTGCAAGATCACACCCATTAGCTGGAGGACGACTCGACCGTCATCAACGGCCATTATAGTCCAACCTTCTTCTTACGCTTCTTCTCCGTCTTTCCATCCTGGAGGAGAACTTGCCATCCTCTTTGTCTAGGCTCATGAACAGAATGGGGCCCACCTTCTTCTTCCGCCGCTTAGGAACAGCACTGTCCTCTCGCGACCACACTCAGAGACGCCGGAGAGACTTCAAGGATGGTTACGTCTACTTTGATCATGACGTGATAGGATCTGAGATTAATATAGTATATTTACAGTGTAATATTATAGTATCACATAGTATAGAATGGTGCACAAAGGCTCCAACTTGCTAAACCTCTCAGCACATGCCAGAAGATGCAGTCCTCGGCTTCAGCAGCTTGCGCGCCATCTTGGCTGGAGCCGTCCGCAGGCGGCCCCGCGCCCGGGACCTCCAGGTCCTCCTCGTCCTTGTCCATGGCCGTCTCAAGATCACGGACGTCCCTCACCACCGTCGGGGATCGGGGGGACTGGCGAATGTTGTTGGCCTCAGTGTCCGTGTCGGGATCTGCCACCTCGGTATCCGACTCGCGATCCTGAGAGGCCTTCGCTGCGTCCTGCCAGGACCAAGCATAAAATCATCAAAACCTTGCAAAAAGGGCTTGTCCAACAAATGTCAGATCCTTATAAGCCCGTTACAAGACCATCGGGAAAAGGCCCACGGCCAGAGCTCCTCCGCCGGTGCATCTGGCTCTCCAGCCTGGTCCTCACAACAGCTTCGACCAAACATCGCAACAGCACTCCGAAGACTCCAAAGCCCTAGAGCCCTGAACCCCTCGAATCCGAAACTCAAAATGAAATCCTCACAACCCCATCCCCACCCTGACGGAAACAAGAAAGAACCCTCTCTCCTCCGGAGCCTCGGCACTGGGCTTCTCCGTTTTCGTGCTTTGCCGCCTTCTTCGCTTCGCACCTCGCCTCTCAAAAGGTGCAAAAAGAGTAAGTCCAGGCTTAGGGTTTAGGGTTCAGGGTTTAGAGTTTAGCAGGTGAGGTTTAGGTTTAGGGTTTGGGTAGGAGGAGGGTTAAGAGCGATAGTGCGAAAATGATGTGAAGCCACTCTGACAACAACAATCCGAAACGAACTCATCGCCACTCGAAGGCTTACCACACATTTTGTATCAGCACTAACATTCATGTTCATCATGAAACACACAATAGAGTGATGACTTTCATCATACAAAGCCAAGGACTTTCCACAATAGACAACGTTTGTGCAGAAATGGAAGTAGAGGCGCGATGATCATTCCTCACAAGATCTCAGTAGTAGTGGGGGACAGTCACATGTGGAGCGATTCAGATTCAAAAGTGATGTAGTATGTGCTACCACCGTTAACATTATATGTCTGCGGACTAACAGCAGCTAGTGCGTGCATGCTGCCCTGTAACAGCCCTGTATGTAGCGAATGTATGTATGTAAGTAAGTATGTATGTACATTTGTATGTACGTATGTACATATGCACGTATGTATGCATGTATGCATGAACGCATGTCTGTCTGTGTACATGCATGACCGGGTTCTGGCTTCCCCGCTGTCCCCTTAATAAAATGAGGTGCGCGTTTCCTGTCATTCAAGTTCAGTCGGGGAGCCCCTAAAAAAAGGAGCAAAAGCGTGCTATGAATAAACGAATGAATGAATGGTTGAGTGAGTGAATGAGTGAATGAGTGAATGAGTGAATGAGTGAATGAGTGAATGAGTGAATGAGTGAATGAGTGAATGAACGAACGAATGAATGAATGAAATAATCGAATGAATTAAGAAACAAAGAAAAAAGAATGGATGAATGGATGAATGAATGGGAGGAGCGCATGAATGAATGAATGAATGCATGAATGAAGAAACAAAGAAAAAGAGTGAATGAATGGAGGGAACGGATGAATAGATGAACGAATGAATGAACGGATGAATGAATGGATGCATGTATGAATGAAGAGGGAATGAATGAATGGAATATCGAACGAATGGAATGGACGAATGAATGGAATGAACGAATGAAGGAATGCACGAATGAGCAAATGGACGAATTTACGAATGCAAGTGACCGATTAGTTCAATTACTAATTCATTGGTTTGTAACATAGTAAGGAAATTAACTGATTGATTGATTAACTAACTGACTGATTGACTGATTGATGAATTGATTGGTTGACTGACTGACTGACGGACTGACTGACTGATTGATTGAGTAAGTGTATACCTGCCTACGAACGTGCACACATGCATGCAGTGCGTTTCAAAGTACACTAATACGTGCATACATATGCTCAGTTCTTGCTTATTCGTTCAAGTACGCTTTACGTTTGAGCATCCGTACTAGATCACACCGAAGAACAATAAAAGGTCGATGCGCGTGTCTCATGACATCCAACCAGCGCAAACACGCCGCTGTCTGCAGCCTTGAGCGGTCCTTCTTTTCGCCGGACCTCCGGTTCTTCTGTCGGAGCTCAGGCTTCGGGTCGGGACAGCGACTTGTGTTGGCGGGGATGTCTGAACAGTTGTTGTTGCCGGTGCGTCTCTGTCTCGTCAGCTGCATCTTTCTCAATGCCCGGTAACTACTCTTTGACTCTATAACTTCCAAGTGCTCTTGCCTCCGGCTGGGACAGAATCTGACAGTCCAGTAAATGACAGGAAACCTGATACCTTTTCAACAAAGAGCGGCCCTCACTGGTTCTTTTCTGGCTCTGGGTACCATCTTTTGACCTTGAATCTGCCTTAGGGTACACCCCCAACGGACCACCAAACGTTTAGGCTTCAGGGCTGGCGAGCCTTTGCCTTGTCAGAACGGGGCTTGCGATACTTTAACAAGTGTCCGTCGTATGATGCCTGCTTCGGTGGGCCAAACATGTGGAAGAAGCGACAAGCACAGTTCTCGGGTTCTCAAGATAGGTACATGGTCCTCAACCTAATCCCGTCGAAACCTGAACCCTCAACCCTAAACTACCCTAAACAAGAACAAAAGAAGCCTCGAGCTCTCAGCTTCCAGAGCACAGCGCTTCAGCAAAGTGCCATGCGGAAGAGCCTTCAGGTACTATAAAACAACATAGCATAACAAAATATTGCTTAGTTTAGTACAGTATAGTTTTGTGGAATATAGTACAGTATAATATAGTACCATATCTGATAGTGTAAGATCTGGATGTTGCAGTTCGGTGTCTGGGACAGCCCTGCATGAGTCCCCACCAGTGCCTGGTGCGTCGCCGTGGCCGGGAAGCCTGGCAGGGCGTGAAGGAGTGTTTAATACCTATCTTGTGTAATTTCTATTCTACAATTATATTGTATAATATTGTATACATTATATTATATATATATATATATTTATTTATAGATTTATTTATTTATATATATGTGTATATATATATATGTTAATGTGAAGTCTTCGAGGCTGTTTAATGACTTTGTGATGCAGCATCTACCAGGATGAGACCTAAGCCTCGAGGGGAAGCTTCGCTGTTGGCAAGCCGGGCTTGCGTTTGGAGCTGTCAGGGTTCAGGGTTTAGGGTTTAGGGTTGAGGGTTCACGCCGCATGATCTAGAACTTGGTTTGCAGGTTCGTCAAAATCCCACATCCTAAGGTCCTAAGGACTGCCGGCAGCACACGGCTCCGCCGACGGCCACGTCGGCGCTCCTGCCCACGGAGCTCATGGGGTCTGTGTTTGCTTAGAGGGTCCGTCGGGGTTCAGAAGTGTGGCTGTGGCCTTGAATGAATCCTGTGGAGTTTGAATGATAAACCATGCGTGCCGAGGACATCCACGTGTTTCAACAAGAAGAGGTTCCGAGACCTCAACACCATGGCACCAACGACGAGTAACCGGCCCTGAAGGAGATGACGACGACCAAGACGGCCACAGCGATAACGAAGACAACACCCAACGACTGTCTCAATAAGCACAAAGACGCGGAAAGCGACAAACCGGCTCCTGGGAGGCGCCGCAATTTGCGCTACCTCAACTGCAAAGGATGCAGTGAGCTCACATGTCAAAAACTTGAACGCCATCACACTACATTCTCGTTGTTTGTAGATACTATGACTGTGCTATAGGTACCATCGTGGTATCGACAAGTCTGCTACTACGACTGCTACTCCTGCTGCTGCTTTGCTGCTGCTTCTACTGTGCTGCTAGTGCCACGGCTACTGCTACGGCTACTGCTGCTGCTACTGCTACTGCTACTGCTACTACTGCTGCTGCTGCCGCCGCTGCTGCTGCTGCTGCTCCTGCTACTGCTGCATCCGCTGCTGCTGCTGCTGTTGCTGCTGCCGCCACTGCTACTATTTTCACGATTAAGAAACGACGACGACTACTGTTACGACTACTACTGCTGTACGAATACTGCTGTGTCACTTTATTGCTCTGCTACTATCTTATTCTACTGCTCCGCTACTGCACGACTCTTCTGCTACTTTTGCTGGTGCTACTTTTGCTGCGGTCAGCAGCGCAGCCACAAACACAACTACTGCCCCCACCGCTGCCATCACAACAACCACTACCACAACCGCTACCACCACCACTACCATGACCATGACCACCACGACTACGACCACTTGTACAACGACCACCACCACTACTTGTGGTGCAATGCTACTTCCCCTCGAAGAACGAGATGTCCAACAATGTTCCAAGCCTGGATTCCAAGCTTTCTAAGCTTGTGGGCGTGCCATGAATGAGCCTCTTCCGAAATCCCCCCGATCTGATCGAAACGTCAGCCGGGGGACCGGAACCGGACCGTTTACCTTTCGCCTTCGTGGAAGGCGAGGCTTTTCCTGAAGCAGCGGACATGAAGCGGCGAATCGGCTTGTTGCTCTGGAGTGGGCAAGTTTAGCATCGGTGGTGGGGTCATGTCAAGCTCATTGAACCACAGGGGCATCAAGGACTTGCAGCGTTGGTTAGTTGATGCCCCATCACATCTTGCCTAGACTCCTCGAGGCAAGAACCTCAATGCCAAACCCTCTGTCCGGAAGAATGGAGGAAGTCTTGCAAAACACCCAAAGAAACTCAAAGAGGCTTGAAGTCAAAGACCCCATGTGCTCTAAGCTCAATACCTTACACCTTCTGTATACACCCTCAAGCCGCATTCAAAGTTCAACTGCGACTGGGAGCCCGTTCCATCGCCGGACTCGGCGGGCTTCGCACGGGTCTTGGGCCGAGGGGATCCTGAAGCAGAATTGTTGGGTTTAGGGTTTAGGGTTTAGGGTTTAGGATTTAGGGTTTAGGGTTTAGGGTTTAGGACCATATTTATTCCAGCAAAGTGCTACAGTATCACAAGTGCCATTATTATGGGTAATATTGGTGTTGAGCTTGATCCGCTTCTTGCTAGCCCAACTCCCTAAACCAAACCCCAAAACCCTTGTACCTCTGCCCAAAACCCGAAACCATGACCCCTACACTGAACCCCAAGCCCCAAAGTCTACCCTTAAACCCCAAACCCTTAAACTCTAAAATCCAAAACCCTGAACCCCTGCCGCAAACCCTAGAGTCCCAGAGCTTCGGCGGGTGTTGCCTCCTCGTGCTCGACCCGGGGAGTTGAACCCCCAGCCGCGCATGGCGCGACATGGGCCGCTTCTTCGACTGCTGAAACTTAGTGTTTGGGGCTTTGCGGTCTAGGCTTAGGGTTTCGGGCTGAGGAAGTCAAGTTTCAGATTTTTGCTTTCCGAGTTTCCCTGAAGTCTTCACGCTTTGCGATGCCTACTTGTTTCTGTGAGTTTGTGCTGGTCGCTTCTGTGTTGGGGTTCGAGGCTTTCTAACTTCGCGGTTCATGAGCTTTCTACTGTCTGTGGAGGCGTATCATTAGGGTTCCGATCACGGTTACCACAACCGGAACAGCGATTGAGCTAAAGTTTTCGTCTCACTGCAGGCATTGCTGTCCTGAAGGTCATGCTCGAAGTTGTCGTGGCTGAAAGAGAATATTGTTCTTGCATGGGTTCTTACATGGAGAATTCGATACAGTTATTCGGTGCCAAGGCAAAGTTCTGGCCAAGGTGTGCCATGCAGTGACTTCATGCAGTCGCGTCATACTGCAGTAACACAGTACAGCTGCCCGAAGCTTCTGACCCGCCAAATGAAGCACACAGAGATGAACAGCCATGCAAACACAAGCCCGGTCTTGTGACTAAGGGCTGGCTCTTCTGGTATCACCCGCACATGCTGAGAGAGCATCTGCGTGGAACTCTCGTTGCGTGGTGCTCCGTCACAAAACCAGCATGGGTTGCTTGCAGGTAGCGCAACCGAAGCCTCGAATACGAAATGCTCACACGAGAAACCACAGTACCTACCGGTCTGCATTCGGCGCTGGATCATGACGTTTCGAGTAACATGTAACTATGTGAAAGAATTGCCAGATCTTGAGGGATTGGAATTGGAACGGATGGAACGGATGGAACGGCACCCAACCGAGAATAAAAAGCAGAGCAAAGGCAGAAAAGCAAGGAAGAGACAAAGACCGAAATTCGAACGGACGCTGAACCAAACACGGAAACATGGCGGATCATGGGAAAACACCAATCTGCAAGCCTCACGCTGACAGCTTTTTGCCAGCTCGGCAGCGCAAAAGCGCCTTGGCTCAGGACCCCTGCAGCTTCCAGGTGGTCCCTGTACTCCTGGCACCGGTCGGTAAGGTGCTTTGCAGCTGAAGCCGGGTCTCTTCGAGCTTCAGAAACTTGAAGTCGAAGCCACTCCGCTGCCTCCGGCACGATGCTGTTGGCGTAATTCCAGTACTGGGACCAGCGGAAGTCGTTTTTCTTGCCCCTGCTCCAGTCCAGTGCATCGTAGAACATCAGGCGAGGAGCGCCGGATTCCTTGGTTCCGGGGAGAAGTCCGAGGTTGGACCTGCCGGTGTCACGCAGCTGGATTCCTTGCAAAGCCAGGAAGGCGAGGACTGCACAGGTGTAGGTCATAAAGCTTTGCTGCACCTGAGTAGAGGAGCCTTCTATCCATTCTTTGGCCGTCTCCACCCTTTTTTGCCAAAGGCCGTAAAGGGTAAGGTCCTCAAACCCTTGCACAGTGAAAAGTCTGACTGTGACCTGCCCAGTCCAGTATACCGGAGCCACCAGCTCAGGAAACTGTTCGGCCCAGAACTTTTCGTCTGCTTGGTCCCTCAAACAAAGCTTGACGACCCTGCTGGTGTCTGCCACGCTGAAAGTCAGGCGTTCTCGGCCGAAGTCCAGCATGTGCACCTCGCGCGGTGTGTCGAAAGCCGTATTGGTGATGGGATCGAAGTGTAGATCCATCACTGCCGGGATCCAGTGAAACCAGCCTTTTGACTGCTTTGGGTTGCTCCTGTGAGCCTTCGCATCGCCTGCGAAGTGGAACGCCACGTCGGCTGCTTCTTCCTTTGTTCTGCGTCTGCTTCTTCTTCGCCTCCGGGGTTGCTCCCGACGCTTTACGCGAGCGTACGGTGATGTCGACAGGCCAGAAGTCTCGTAAGCAAAAGCACAAGGGCTGGCCTGTGATGAATGTGGCCTGTCCTCTTGCGGCCTCATACAAGCACAACTGCAAACGAGGCCTGCAACTGCTCAAGTGTTATTCGCCTGATGACGCTGGTTAGTCGTCTCGTTAACGGAAATACAAGGCCAAAATAGTCGACTTTAAGTAGTCGACAATTTGTGATGAAAACATTTGCTGCCTGGATCTGTTACGACACTGGTACCATCAGTAGCAATGCTTTGGGGTGCGAGTTTCGGTCGCAGGATTCGGGGCCTTTGCTGCACTGACGGAGTGTGGATGAAGGTCACCATGAAGCTTCGGGCTTCCCGACTGCGACCGAAGCCCGAAACTGAACCCTTACTACTACGTATTATAACCTACGAGAATACTCACTAATGTGACATGACCACCCGTCGTTTTCAGGAAGCCCTGCCTGCGTGCTTTCGCTTTCGGCGGGCCTGGCGAAGAAGGGACGTGTTGTTTTGAATCTGGGGATAGATGTAACTACTGCTCAGAATATATCAGAAATTCTCATTTGCTTCTTCGATGAAGCCACAGCTCTTGTTATAATTAAGTGGATGAGGGCATCAGTAATAGGCAGCCCATCACGACGGTGCTACCCGCATTTTCCTTTCTTCGGCTCCCAGCTGGACTCAAGATTCTCGCTCTTGCAAGAGTTAGCTTTGGCAGTTTTCCGTACATGTCTCTACTACCACTATCATCATCAGTCTCACCATAGCCATCACGTCACTAGAGTGGTTTTACAACTAGCAGGTTCGCAACCGTCGTATCAAACTATCAATATCGGCCCTTGTCACTAGCACAAGTGCGGTTACCAAAACCGGCGTGAACACTGAAGGCTCACAACATGGTCGATTTGACAGTGTAAGTACATCTTACTGCGATGATGATGATGATGATGATGATGCTGATGACGACGGTTGACACGGGATCTCTACATAACACGCATTCTCCCCTGCCATGATTGGCATCAAGCCTTGGCAGCTGATGAGACCTAGCAGATCCTAGCAGCAGCATCAACCGCAGGTTCAACATTGCTGGCGAGCATCAACATCATCGTCGTGTGCACAAATCGTCACCACGACGATCAGCAGCAGCATCAGCAGCAGCAGCAGCAGCATCGCGATCACCATCATTGGTGAATTCTATCGGTATTCGCACTGCCTGACAACAACTTTTTAATAACTGGGGACATGCAATCTAGGAAGACAAGTTATTACATGCTCACGCGTAGACTGACTCGGAAGAAGCTGCTGCACCACAGTCCGCCACTTATTTAAGGCAAGTTTTTGCTGGCACCTCGGACTGCTCGCAGTCGCAGCACTGGCACTCGTGCTTCTCCCTTTTCTTCCCTCAGAAAGACCGGCAGGGTGCAGAAACCGTCAAACCATCACAAAGAGTCGTCTGTGCAAGGCACCTTCATTGTCTTTCTTTCGTTTCCGATTCTTTTCCTTCTTCTGGGACTGGCGTCTCGCCCATCTACGCAACAGCATGCGTCGCCGCAGCCGCAGAGCCTGGCAGGTCGTGTGAAGCTTTTGAATAGGTTCTGTACTGCAGCATCCACCAGGACAGGACTTCAAGCATCTAAGAGAATGAGGTTTTCGCGGGGCTTGGCTTCAGTTTGGAGCTGTCGGCAATGACATGCCCGACCTTGACAGCTCCATCACGGCTTTGGCAATGCAGGTTGAGGTTCGCGACGCTAGGTTTGCACAAAAATAACCCCTCGACCCCTAAAGCCTAAACCCTAATCAAAAGGCAAGCCGGAAACACCCGGCTCCACGGACGGCTGCGACCTCGACACGCCAATATGTGGGGGTCATGGGGCTTTGTTTGCTTACAGGATCTAAAGGTTTAGGGTTTAGGCGTGGCTGTGGCTTTGATTTGAGTCCTGCGAATTACGCACCACCACCGCCCACGACAGCAGCAGGAGAATCCAATGTGCTCATTTTCAACTGACAAAGAAGCTCACACGCAAAGCAGGTTGCAGATTTGAGCCGTCGTTGTCGTTTAGTAACTTTGGCGAAACTACTGGTACCATCGAGCCTGCTGCAGCTACGAATACTGCTCCTGCTGCTACTTGCTACTTTTACTGCTTCTGCTGCTGCTGATGCTGCCACTGCTAGTTCTACTGCTACTGCTACTGCCACTGCTCTGCTACTGCTACAGCTACAGCTACAGCTACAGCTACTGCTACGGCTACTGCTACTGCTACTACTGCTGCTGCTGCTACTGCTACTGCTACTGCTACTGCTACTATGTTCACGATTACGAATACGACGACTTGCTGTCCGGGAAGAACGAGATGTCCAACATAGTGCCACGCTGTCTACATTTGTGCACGTGCAATGAATGAGCATCTTGCGAATGCACCCCCTTCCGATCGAAAGCTTGAAGGCGAGGGAAAGGAACTGGACCGCTTGTCCTTGCCCTTCGTGGAAGACATGAATTGGTTTGATGCTTTGGAGTGATTGGCTGAAGAATGTGCGATGGTGTCTTGAGCACCAGAGGCGGCTAGGGCTTGGACTCAGGTGTTGCATCCAACCCATTTTAACCACAAAGCAACAACAGCAGCGGCCGACCCCTCAAGGACTCGATAAATGCGCCGTCACATTTTGCCCAGAGATCCTTCTACAAAGGCACCAATGTGCAACCCTGTTGAAGTATCCCTCTGAATCCTCCTGGTCCGGAAGCAAAATGAAAACACGAACGCTGAACTTGAACAACTCTAGCCCTTTAGCAACTGGACCTGACGCCTTGTACTTGAACCCTCCAAACCCGAAACCCTAAATCCTCAATCCTCGGAGCTCTGAAGCCAACCGCAACAGCAACTGGGAGCCATTCCATCGCTCGGCTGAAAGGCTTCACGTGAGCCTTGCACCGCGAGGAGCAGAGTTTCAGGAGCCAAGCAAAGTCCCAGTCCTACCAGTGTACTGTATGCTTCTTCATTCTTGCAAACCAGTGTCCGTGTAGTACTCGGCTTGTTCTCATTCCGATAACTGTGCTGTAAGGCTGGTCATGTTATTGAAATCACGACCATTGCTGCTGCTACTATCACTGTTGCTTGCTAAGTTCGTATGCTAGCCATCGACATGACTAACATTCTCACTGTTGGACTAGGGCTGGGACAAACAGTTGAACTCTTGTTTCGCCGTCGGGGCTTCGAGCCGAGGTGGGGTCAAGGTTTGTGGCTTTAGAGCTTCAGGCCGTCGCTGGAAGATGTTCAGTCTTGCGCTTGCCTTCAGACGTGACATGTACGTGTTCACAAAAACAAACCGACATCGAGATTCATTCCTGAAATGCGGCATCTGTGGGGTCAGGAGCTGGTGTGAATGCAAGGCATCGGATGCTGACAGCTAACGGTCTGGCCCAGGCAAACTCTTCAAGAAAACTAAACTCTGGAGGTCGTAAGCATTAACCTTCCACGTGCGGGCCGAACGGAACGTCTACAGAGAAAGGGATCTGTGCTGGCACGCACAAGATGACCAAAGACAAATCTCACAACAAACTGGAACGAAAACAAACACCAGCAATAACAAGATGAGCTTTAGTGCTAAGACCCTGAACCCCAACCCCAAAGCTAGACACAACTTGAACTCGAAACGCCGCCGAAAGCCAAACCCAAACCGCAAAGAACCGTCGGCCCTATCGCTTCAAGGTGCAGGGAGTCCGGGCCCCACCGCACATTGCAGAGCATGAGCAACTTGTTCGAATACTGCCAATGCTGCTTGCAAGAAACCAAATTTTGGCTTAAGGCTCACTTTAAAGCTGAATGCTTTGTGGCGTGCACAACTTGCCTTTACGGGTTCGCCGTCTTCTTCTTTCGAGGTTTATGAGGTGCTACTTTTGTTTATGGTGGGCGATGCATTTTGTCAAACGTATGCGCTTCGGCACAGTCACGTACGGCGACCACGGTTCCACTGCGACAACACAAACTGCATTTGCACCAATTGTCATGTTCAGTCTGCTGGTTATGATTGCTTATGTTTTGGTGCGGGCTGCGTGCTGCTGTTCTTGATTGAACCTCACCGCGTCCAACATCTCATAGTCTCTTCTGACATGTGTAACATTGGACTGTTCCTGCATTTCCCTGTTCCTTCGTGAATGTCCAGCGAAATCGAGTCTGCACAATAGAGTGGAGGGTGGAAACCAAAGTTGACTCGAATCCAAGACCGAGGACCAGACCGTCGACCTCACGAAGCCAGAGCTCCCAAGACTGCGCAGTTCGAGGGAGCTGCGGGACCGCCGAGCTTGTGGGAGATCTGCACCGGCGCTAATCGAGAAGCTCTCCCAGAGAAGCGCAGACGAGAAGAACGCCGACGAAAACCTGGAGTGGTTGTTTTTGGCGTAGGCGGGCCTCGGTGACAGCGGCTGCTGCGCTCGGTCCCAGTAAGAAACAACAAGATCAAATAAAAGATTACTAACCCATGCATACACCGTCAGCGGCCCTTGGGCGTCTGCCGATCGCACCTGCTGTGGCAGCCCGGGGCACTTGGGCGGCTAAGCTCCCAGCAACGCAACGGCACGGTGTGATCAAAGAACCCGTCATTTGCCAGAATCCAGGTATAGCGCTGCAGACTCATGGCCGAATGGCCAGGGCACACAATCCCCCACGTGTGCTGTGGGCCTGGCCAGGAAGTGTAGTCCACGAAACGGCACCCGTTGTGAATCTAGCTCATCCGACACCGAAATGAAAGCACGGGACAAACAAACAATTCTGCCCGCCCGTCTGGGAGTAGCGCCGCAGCCTCATGGCCGAATGGCCAGGGCACACAATCATGGAAAGAGGTCCCAAGCCTACGGGAGTGGGCGTATGTTTGGCTAGGGTGCATTAAGAGCATACAAAAAGACCCACTTTTGGCGGCCGTGGCATAGTAAAAGCTGTGGCCTGGTAGAATAGAGCTGAGGCGAGGCCGCGTGGGAGGTGGAAACGAGGCTGTAGCCCAAGAACAGGCCGTCAGCCAGCCCTCTCTGCTCTCGAAAGCGCTGGGCTGCCGCCACCCAGTCTTCGAAAGAGAGGCCCTAGGGTGTACGGGGCACATTGAGCTCGTGCCACTTGGAGGGACGGTGCTCCGGCTCTGTCCCGGCACGGAAGTCGTCAGGAGCGCCACATTGCTGGTGAGCCCTGTGAGGGTAGGGTGTTGTGGGGTAACATCCAACGTCCGTATCAGCTCCGTGAGGTCCTTTTGCAAGGGTGTGGGCTGGAGCTCATCTGCAAAGGCGGGGTCCTCCTTGACACCGGCTCCACTGACAGTTCTTTTGAGGACCGTATCCCGCGGCCCGCGGCCGCCAATCCGGCGGACAGAGTGCCGTCATCGCTGAAACGAAAGGAGGCATGTCAACTCTGCTCCAATCAGCACGCACAGCGGGTGGCGGAGGATTTTTTTGGCGTGGGCGGGCCTCAAAGACAGCAGTTGCTGCACTCGGTCCCCGTATGAATTACAAGAAGTGTAAGAATACAATGACAAATCGAAGCTGTACAGAGAATACGGATCCTAAACAAGGTGAAACAGGCTGCGACTTGCAGACTTAGCCGGCAGGCGTCGTTCAGCCAGAAAATGCCCAGCGCTTACCGACCTCGGCTACTCAGAGCCCCGCTCCCCAGATGAACTGGGTCGCGCAATGACGCAATCATGGCCTCGCGCCCTGTGGTGGTGTGAAATGACGCATGACATGGTCTGCCAGGCGCCGGTCAACTAGTAACTAGCAAGAAGCGGGGGCACCCAGCACACATCAACCGCATGGACCCAGCTTCCCATCTGGATGGGTCTCGCAAGGGCAGAAACGTGCAGTCATGCCAGCGATGATCGACCACCGCCGCATATGCACAAGCAAAGGGGAGAGTAACCCCTATGAGTAAATTCCGCGCCCAGCTTCCCATCAATGTGGGTCTCGCAAGGGCATACAAGTGTAGCAGAAGATGTCTGCTCTGCCCAGCTGAAATGTGCAAAAGCAAATGTCTGCCGTGGCCGCTGGTGCATGTTGCAGACAGCCGACAATCAACCGAAAGCCTCGTGGAGGCAGCAACCTGAGCAATCAAAGAGCGATGTCGATCTGTCGATCCCAAGCCAGCTTCCCCTCAGGGGGTCTCGCAAGGGCGTAAAGTGCAGACATAGCAACAGAGAAGTGCCGTAAGCGGGCGAATCCAGCCGCGTGTACGACTAATGGAGTTAGTATTGGCTCCGATGGACAAGCTAAGACCTTTGTGTATCTGATCCGTGCTCAATCTCTGTTACCAAAGCCTCAGGTGTCGTTTGATGATGCTGCGTGGGCACGGAATGCAGAGCCTGCAGCTCGTCTCATGACTCAGGAAGACGCAAGGACATCCTGGAATTTTTTGGCTTTGAGCCATTCAGCGTGGTAGATCAGCACTAGCGTGTTCCGTGGGTTGGCCCGGCCTTGTGGGCGCTTATACTTTCCATCGAAGACCTCCATCAACTTCCATCACACGCCTGCACTCGCCTTTTGGAATCTGAGCGGTAATGCATGGCTGGCCCTTTGAGAGCGTCGCCCCAGTGAGATCCAAACTGGTGGAAGCTGGGCTCGAATTACATAGTACCCGAACTGGGGTTCCAACACCAATACCAGCAGCTGAGAAAGAAGCCAAGGCACTCAAAGAAGGCTGAGGAAGAGACCTGAAGAAGGCCTTCTTCCACACGAAAGGAAACACACGAAATCGCTCAAGGGAGATTAAAGGCGAATAAAACAAGCAGAAACATGAAAATTCAGAGACACACTAGGACACGGTCTTGTTATTTAGTTTTGGCAGTGAAATCAACCTCACGGGCTCACCAGCAATGTGGCACCTACTGATGATCCTTCCACTCTTACGTTGCAACTGTAACACGCTTGGCATTTCCAAGGTGCGCACTAATGTTGACCTTTTTTTTTTGGGCTTGACTGGACCTCGTCAACTACGGCTGTAGCACTCGGTCCCTACAAACAAGCGAAGCTAACACAAACGACAAACTAACAAAGCGGTGAAACAGCAAAGCGAAGCTCTACAAGGGGCTGGGGCGCACAGGCTTTGCCGGTGTTAGCCGTTCAGCACAAACTACGGAGTCTCAGCGACCGGTCAGGAGCAACAAAGAGCCGTCGCTCAGCCTGTGTTTTGTTCCGTCACGATCGTGCACACCAAAATCCAAAAGTCCATGGCCCACTGCAGTGTGAGCGACTTCCGGAAAGGTGCAAAGACCCTGGAGAACGAGTCCTAACCCTGTCTGCTGACATTTTGTTCTTCCATAAGAAGCTATCTGTCATGCGATGGCGAGATCGCTTCTATGAGACGCCCAAGAGGCGGACTCTGCTTCTAGGACCACTAACTTGTGATGGAGAGAGGGCAAAAGCAACAATTATGTGACCTTTTGAAGTCCCAGCGGACTATTTTGGCACTGGCTACAACCTCCTTGCAAAATTGCCGGGCCGCCGCGATCCAGTCTTCCAGACGAAAGCCTTCACCAAGAGTCTATGATGATCCCGGTTAACTCGGTTCACCGACTCTCCCCCCCAATGGTATCCCCCAGACCCACGCAGGACACATTGGATGGACGCTTTGCAGAGATTATCCAATGGATTGTACCGATGTGCCTGGCTTCCGCCGATCGCGAGCCATTTTATTATCCCAGTTCGTCCGGTTCTCCCTCTCCGCCAATGAAGAGGGGAGTTTCTTCCACCATCTTTGCCGCCAACCGCGCGGCGATGCCGATGAAGCGGTGACCTGCATGTCAATGTCCATCATGGCGATCTGCCTCCAAAGCAGCTCACCCTGTGTACCAACTCTCCGCTGGCAACATTGGGTTTGCTTCTCCTCCATGCGCACCAGAACGGACTGGACAACTGGTTCCGTGTTGGACCTCGGCAGGTTTTCTGTGTGGGTGTTACCCATCTTTTTTGCCAGTGTTCACCGTGACTGTTGGTGCTTCGCACGCCTCGGTTGTGTTGGCGGGTTGCTGGCCTTCGCAACTGCTCACGCTGCAGTGCGATGTGGACTCTTGGATTTTGATGTGCACGATCGCAAAGAAACAAAACAGGGGTTGTCCGTTGTCTGGCGAGATCGCAGCTCCTCAATGGAGAACACTCAGGATAATACATGTTGATCCGCTTCCTGCCGCTCTGGCTGGCTGCGAAAGACGCATTAGTCCTTTTTTCTGTTCTTCGATCAAACAAAAAATTCTGAAACAAGTTTCAATTTTGGCGTGAATGGGCCTCGTCGACTTCAGCTGTAGCACTCGGTTCCTATAAACAAACAGACTACAAACAAGAAGTAAGACTAAAAGCGAAGCTCTACAACGGCTGCGACCGATGTTCGCCGTTCAGTCCAAACTCTACGGAGCCTCAGCGAGCGATCAGAAGCAATAAAGAGCCGTCGCTCTGAGTTGCCTAAAGCAACCCAGGCTTCGGTTGCCGTTCTAGTCTCGCCAGACAACAGACAACCCCTGTGTTTTCTCTCTCAACGCGTTTTTCGGAGCAGCTCGAACTGGAGAACTCTACCACAAAACTGCAAATAGGAACTGGTCAACATCAGTGCGTTCAATACTGTCCCTCTGTGGAAGCTGTTGCGTCGTTGAGTCATGCTCTTGGCAACTCGATAGTGCACCTCACCTGGTGTTCGAATCTGGACAATGGTGTGCACGTTCGAGCGGAAGGGCTCCTTTGCCTCGCCGCCTGCTGGCCTCTACCGCTCGCCTCTTCACCTGTCAATCGGTTTAGCATTCGGCAACTCCAGAGCGTCATTTTTCCACAAAGAGTTGATGGGTCAAAACTTTGGGAGTTCAGGTATGCCTTAAAGGGCTTTCATCCTGCCAGAAGTTGTTCAAGGGAAGGCACCGCAGTCTGCAGGACGAGGTCGCCCGTTGTAGTTCGTTTTTGGGGGTTTCTATGGGATCCAATGGTAAACCACAAAAAAAGAACTTCCATGGAACTATAGGTTGCAGTGCTAATGTTTAGGGGCTTCTCTTTGGCGTAGCACGTCGGGTTCCTCCTTTTTGGAGGATTCTGGCATGATCCTGCTATCCAGAGTTGGCTTGAAGATATCAAACTCGGACAGCTCAGATCCCATCTCACCTGCTCTGATGGTTTGGACTTGTTCTTTTCTTTTTGTGCTTAGGTCTCAGTGGTTTCGTGTTTCTGCGTTTCTCGGGTCAGCTCAAGAAGGATGGCAAAAGCAGAGGGCAGAGGCAAAGGCCCACGCCGCGCCGACCTCGCCACCAAAGAAGCAGAGGACCGATGATGAGGAAGACATGGCCGAATTTGAGGTGAAGCTCGTGGAACTTGACATCAACTTTGCGGACCTGGACCCAGAACTGCAGAACAAGCTTCGGAGCAGCAAGAGCTCCCGCCGAGATTTTCTGGCTATCCACACAACAGACAGACTTTATAATCCCACAGATGGCACATGGTCGGAGCAGCCTACCACGAAGAAGAGAGATTTTGGAAGCATTACTGAAAGAGCCATGCCAAACTTGACGGCAGAGGACAACGTGCAGCAAGCCATGCTGCAGTACCACCAGAAGAGCATCCTTCCTTCCCTGGACCAGTTGCAGATGTGCTGCGATCAATTTTACAAGATGGCACAACATGAGTTCGCGATGACACAGTATACCCTGGACAGGCATTCCAGCCAACTGCAGGTGCTGGAGCGTTCCAAGGCCAACAAAACCATACTTTTGCTGGATTTACCGCCAATTTTCAACAAGAAGACCCTGGACGCAAATGTTGGGTATTATCTGCAAGCCGCCGGCCTCCAATGGGACCAGGTGGCGGCAATGCACAATCATATGGTTTCCTCCGCCTCTTCACTTGTTCGCCTGGAATTTCTCACTGAACAGCAAGCTGCCCAGTTTAGGGACCAGATGAGACAAGGTCGCCGTTACTGGCGCGACCCCCAGCAGCAAGACCACAAGATCAGGATTGAGCAGGATCAGCCATTGGAAGACAGACTGGCCATGCAACCGTATTATGCTCTACTTGACGTCCTCGCCGAGCTCTATGTGGAAGAAACTGGAGAAGACACCCACGCCTCCCTACAGACCTGGAGGCAGACACTGCAGATCTGGACCCCTAAGGGGGTGGAGCCCAAGCAACTTATTGGGCAGGTGAGCTACGTGCTTGATCCGCGCTTTGCGCGCCGCTACTCATGCTTGCTTTTGGTACATGACAGATTCTACGACGCGGCCCTGACAAGATGGCATGCAAAATTTTCGCGGAGACTTCGGGATACCTTATTTCTGGCACAGGCGCTCAAGCGCGCCACTTCTGACCGCACGACTGTGCAACGTGCTTCCTACGACAAGGCCTTCGACCTCACTACTGCCTCCCACGCGCAGGCTTTCCCTTACACGGTGATGCCGGTACGCATTTCGGACGATCTGGCTTCTATGCTTGAGTCTCACCCCATGTTGCCTTTTCAAGGCGCTGGCGGCATGACCGCCTTGACGGCCCAGGCTTTCTTAGATCAGGGTTTTGAGGATTACGGCAAAGGGTCCCCTAGGGCTAAGGGAGCCGGAAAAGGTAAGCCCCAAACCAAATCCCGAAACGATCGCCAGGACCAATGGACTCCCCAGATGGGCAAAGGCAGCAGTCACCGATCTTCTTACCAAGGATGGTCCCAGAAATCCGGATGGTCTGACTACAACACATACCAGAAGCCCAAAGATAAAGGCCAGGCCAAGGGCCAATGGAAGGAACGCGACCACGACTCCAGAACCAACTGGAAGAAGGACGACGACCAGGATAACAATGATAGTTGGGGCTCCTGGGG